ATATATATATATATATATATATATATATATATATATAGTAAATGGACTGTACTTATATAGCGCCTTTCTATCTTATCAAGATACTCAAAGCGCTTCACACTACAATCTGTGCCCTCATTGACCCATTCATACAGCACTCTACTAGATCTTTGCAAAGAATAATCAGTTTTATCACATTCATACACCAATGGGACACACATCGGAGGCAATGAGGGTTTCAGTGTCTTGCCCAGGGACACTTCAGCATGCGGCTGCTGGTGGAATCGAACTCCCAACTCTTGCATTGGAGGACAACTGCTCTTAACCACTCATCCACAGCTGCCAACCATTTTGCCCAATTTTCAATAGAGACCTTTCTTACTCCTAGGTGCAGCCACTCATCAAAATGGAAGTTGGTACCTCACTTCTTTTTCAAGTTATCCAGCTCACAAGATGGACGGCTGGATGAATGGTATATCTAATTTCCCTCTTTGCTCTGTGACAGGGTGTTCTTGCATTAAATCCTAAGTAAAACGTGTTATAATTAAACTTTGAGCCGTCATTCTGCCTGAGCTTACGTCTCCTGTACTTTTCTATTAATAAACCCCCCAGAAGCTGGAGGCTGACGCCTGCAGCAGCAACCACCACTGAGTGAACTATTTTCACATAGTGCTTCATCATGCAGCTTGTGTCTCTGGGAGGTTTTTTCCTCCTCTGTTTAGCTGCTGATGCTGTTTTCTATGCACTTTCATGAATATATGCATATAAAACTTTCTAACATCCTCACCCGCTGGGATGTCAAACTTTCAAAGAAGAGCGAACAGTTTTACTGGGTGTACTGGGATGCTCTGATCACCCTTATCCCCTGAATTTAACCAGACACAGTGCAGCGCTGCAGGGAGGTTTTTTACTAGCTAAAAACATTTTCCCTAAAATTTGAGAACTGAAAGGGTGAAATATGTGTTTCTTCAAAAATTAAGCTTTTACAATCAAGCTGTTTAGAATGAATGTAGAATTAGTTGGAACATACATATTTATATATTTACAATATATAAATAATATTATATATTATAATTGTTATTATCATTAACAATTAATTAATTGACAATTAATTGGGTTAATCAGTTGTAGAGGTAATTAGTTTTGAGTTTCATCAAAATATGTCCAATGGTTTACAAGATATTTTGCAAACAAACACACAACTGAGCACACGCATAACTGCATCAATCAAATACTTAAAAGTTAATATTTTATGATTAGAAAGCAGATGTCAAACAAAACTTACCTTTTTAAGGAAACGCACTCCATACGTAAATATGTACAAGTAGAATGTAAATCTCCACCTGAATAAAGTAAAAACAAGAAAAAGATTAGTATAAATTTAGCAGTTTCCTTGTTCTATCATTATTTGGAGGAGACTTTAGCATTTTTTTTTTGTTTCAGGGCCACAGCCTTAAATTTTTTTTGCCAGTGAATGAATCTGGTTCTCAAAAGCCATGAGAATGTTCTCATCTTTTATTTTTTTTGCATTGAAAAATTATTGCTGTTCTTCAATTTATTATTTTTAAATGAGAAACTTGCAAAAAGCGGTTTTGAATTTGCACTGCACACATGCTTCACATTCTGAACTGAATCTGGAAATATCAAGATTGCAAAAGAAATACCAAACTTTTTATTATGAGACATTATGTTCAGCACATGTAAGGGTCATCCTTGTTTCTTTCCTAATTCTCCAGTACAGGATGAAAAATGAGACATCCCAGACTTCCTCACAGTTCGATCTGTTCCCGTCCGTCATGACTGTGTGTTTTAAATAATCCTGTATAATTTACTGTAACCGTTGTTACACAATGATGTGATCAGAAGGGAAACTGCTGCAGCTGACGAGGCTGTGATCAAACACCTACTGATGAGGAAGTTGTGCATTAGCCTGCTCATAACAGCTAGACTTTGACACCCAATTTGACATGTCTAGCCCTGAAACCCAACACGGCTCAAAGTCTCAAAATGAAGTGACTCCACATCAGCACTCCACTTAAAGCAAAACTCCTCTTTTTATCTGGATGTTTGCTTATGATAATCATTGTAACTCTAATATGTATTTTAAAAAAAAGATTGCCACATGAGCATGTAGCCTATGGGAGCCATCATTAGCTGTTTTCTGTTCTTGATCAAAAGAATAATAAAAGCAAACTGTGAGGACGAGACTACCTGGCAAACAGTAAAGTCTGTTGCATGGCAACCGATCAAGCTGCAGATTTTTCAAGTGATGCTAAATCGCTGCTACGTATATAAAAGCACAATGACTCACAGCTGCTTCTCTTGAGTACATTCCTTCAGAATTCAAGCCCAGAAGGTTTGTGTCACAATGAGTTGTACTTTTATGATAACCGTTTTTTTTAATAATCTAATACCTGGCGTCTGTTTGCAACTCCTAATTTAGTTGCAACTTGCAAATTACACTTGATTACCAATTAATAGTTAACAAAATTAGACTAAATGACTTGGTCTATAAACGGCCTGCAAACTGTGGTTTACTTGTTGGGAAATAATCGAGTTAACACAATGTGCTATGTGTTATCTAAAATATCTGATATGTTTATAGCAAAGCAGCCAACCATCTATGAACATGCTGCAGAAATTGGCTTCAGAATACTGAATAATTTGAGAGTCCTGCTAGTCTCAGCTGTTATTCCTGGTGTCTTCCTGCAGAGAAACTTCTGGAGGTTAAATCAAACATCAATTTAAAAAAAGATGCTAATGGCATTAAGACTTCGGATTTTTTTTTTTTAAACAACACAAGTATTGCTGTTAGTATACCATCTGCGTTTTAGCAAGAACACGATAAAATCATGCAGCCAAATCTAATGAAACCCGGCTAAGAGGTAAAAGCATGAAAAATATATTTGTGCAGATTTTTCATCAAGTCGTAGAAATTTATAGAGGTCTGGCATCAAACTTTAACTTTAAATAATATATGTTGCAGGAGGAAAAAAAAGTTAATATCTGGTAAAAACTTCAGACTGAACTCCCTGAACAAAGATATTAAATCTAAAAAAAAGCTGTCCTCTTCTTTTGTATTGGATAAAGCATATGAAATGTCAGTATTTTACTCATGATTATGTCTTTGTTCTTAGTCGAAAGTACAGAAGATGATGGATGGAGAAAGATGAGATCACACAGTTGGGACTATTGAGGATTTTAAAGCTCCCACTCAGGAAAAGAAGGAATCGACTGCACTGTAAAGTCCATCAATCTTTATCTCCTGTAGTCAAATATTTTGCCAAGCTGGAATTTTATACAAATATTTCAGTGTGTTGTAGGAAAGGCTTTGCAATATGTTTCTTGCAACAACATCAAAAAAAGAAACTCGCTCTTGATTTTTTGATGCATGCTCAATAATCCAAAGAAATCTAACAAAGTTAAGTCAGGTCCTCTGGATGGATTCTTCTTGTTAAAACGTTTCGTCTTTTATCCAAAAAGCTTCTTCAGTCGGAGGAGCTGCAACAAACTCAGTATTATAAATAGCACCATCTCATCAACAAGTTTGCTGGGGACAGACAAAGCTCCTCAGACTGAAGAAGTCTTTTGGATTAAAGACGAAAACAATATTTCCTCTGGTATTGGATGCTGTGCAGCTGGAAGGGTTTTTACTGAAACTTTTTTTAAACTTTTGGACATTTGTTATGTGTAACCACGGCAACATTTTTTTTTAACAACCGGGAGCAGCTGATTAACATCTCTAAGCTCAAATAAAACCTCAACTACAGCCCCAAATCTCAAATGAGTTGAAAAGGAGGTGCAGTGGATGCATTCCCGTCTCCCTGCTGGCTGTGCTCGAGTGCCTGACCATTGAGATCCTGGAGCTGGCAGGAAATGTGACTCATGACAGCAGAAGGACCAGGATCGTCCCCTGACACCTGCAGCCGGCTTTCCGCAGCAACGATGAGCTCGGCAGGCTGCTGGGAGGAGTGACCATCGCTCGGGTAGGAGTTTTACCCAGCATTTGGACGGTCCTGCAGCCCGTGGGAACTGAGAGGCCAGTCAAGTCCAGGTAGACGGATTAGATGGCCTCTGCAGCCAGTTTCTTCGGATCCACTGTGAGACAGACCTCTACAAGAGATCCTTCCTACCTACAGTCATCAGTATCTATAAGATCTCTTAATGAAACGAGGACGAGTTACAACATTTGTTTTCCCTTTGGGATGAACAAAGTATTCTGAATTGAATTGAATCAGGCACGACTAAGAGACAAAGAATTGTGTCAGTCTGCAAAAACGGAGCCAAGAGAGCCAAATTACAGCACAATCGCTGCTGGAAGGACCGAACCAGCTTCGCTTGGAGACCTGCATCAATAGAGAAAGAGCACATGGACGAAGTATGGTAAAAACTAAAGTTAAATCTAAAATCATCGGTGAGAAGTTGTTTGAGTCAAACCTCTTCAATGAAATTGTGTGACAAGTCCTGCAAAATTGTGAGATATTGTGACAATAATATCACACTTTCCCCTTTAGCTTAGGGCACATATGTCAAACTCAAGGCCCGGGGGCCGAATGTGGCCCTTGTTGACATCTTATCTGGCCCCCCAAGATGATATGTTAAATGTAAAATACTTTTTTCAGTTGATTTTTTTTCAGTAATCTTTAATTATGATGTCAAAAGTCGAACAGGGAACATCAAATGAGACCAATCAAACAATTTTTTGAGGAACCTGACACCAAGAAAAGATGTTGGGTATCTAATTTGAGTTAATGTAGATTCTGTAACTGGCCTTTTGTTTGAAAGAAAAATAATTTTTGGACCCCTTTTGTGAGTGAGTTTGACACCCCTGGCTTGGGGCAATAATTACTGTACGCTATAGACATATGTTTTCAAGTTGACTCCAAAGGATCCAGGTAAATCCAGTTTCTTCTTGTGCGAATGGAAGCATGTTTGCCTGTTCGGAACCTTGCGTGAGGTTGTAACAGGAGTCCAGCAGCCTAATCAGCTGAACGTGTTCTCCTGAGTGAACAGCAGCCGCAGGCGTATCAGAAGATGCGAGGCTCCTCGTGTCTCTAACTGCCAGATTTACTCCACCAGTGTCAGACATGACTCCGCTCTGACAGCAAAACTCACTCCTCAGCCTTTAACATCACGCCGCTAAGTAAGTACAATCTCCCTGATGGCAAACGCTTCACTGCAGATTAGAAGTGTTGCCTTTACAAAAGAGTGAGTCACACTGAGACACATTCAACTATTAACAAACAAAAGTAACTATTTACGTTGCACTACTAAGATGCCATGGAAAATACAGGATTAGTAACCCAAAACTAAGGGGTTATCAGTCAAAGAGCCATCTCAGCATTTTGTTATTTTTGTTTTTATCATCCGTCGCAATAAGCTATCATGTGTGTGCTCTTCTGTGTAAGCAAAAAATCTTGTGAGCTAGATAAAAAACAAACTGAGAGCGTAATAATTGGATGCACATACTGATTAACACTTGGAGTCAAGCAAATTTTTGCCACAGCCACTTTCAGGTAGTGTTTGCTACATTTAGCTTTTAGCATTTGGCTTCTTTTAGCTTGTAGTCTGTTTCTTTTAGCTTTAACAAATCAGTTTCAGCTTCTTAAACAATGTTCAGCCAAGTAATTCAGCTGACTGTGTCCACAGGGCAGAAAATCGGACATACCAAATTAAACTATTGGACCTGCGTGTTCAGATCAGTTTGAATCTGCTTGAGAAACGAATGAATCCCTGAAAATCAAATTCCACTTAAAATAGTCAAAATAGTTGAAAAACATACAGAATAAAACAATACACAGTAAGCTCAGTAAATAACTAACACATTGTTTATTTGGAGGAACTACTTTGTGGGGCGAATGAAACTTATGACTTATCTGTGCTGCTGATTATCCATGCTGCTGATATCATGCTGCTGATCTCTTGCCTTTATGCTGCTGTATTCATACCCAGCTGTTCACCACAGACTCATGTTTGGGCTGCCGTTTTTACACCGTATTGTTGTACATTATTAGTGTTTAGCGTATATCTTAGATCTTTTAACATACCGTTTGACATTCATTTAGCATACATCTTAGATTTTTAGTGTACCGTTTGACGTTCATTTTTCGTATATCTTAGATCTGTTAGCGTACCGTTTCACATTTGTTTAGCGTATATCTCAAATCTTTTAGAGTACAGTTTGACGTTCGTTTAGCATACACTTAGATCTTTTAGCGTATTGTTTGGCATTCATTTAGCATATATCTTAGATCTGTTATCGTACTGTTTCACGTTTGTTTTTCGTATATGTTAGATCTCGGAGTGTACCATTTGATGTTCATTTTGCATATATCTTAGATCTTTTAGCGTACCGTTTGATTTTCGTTTAGCATATCTTAGATCTTTTAGCGTACTGTTTGACGTTTATTTAGCATATATTTTAGATCTTTTAGCGTACTGTTTGGCGTTCGTTTATCGTATATCTTAGCTCTTTTAGCGTACATTTGATGTTCGTTTAGTATACATCTTAGATCTTTTAGCGTACTGTTTTATGTTCGTTTAGCATATACTTTAGTGTGTCTTTGATCCTTTTATACTGTTTCTTTTTACTCTTTATATTTTTGCTATTTTTGGTTGTACATAATTTTGTTCCACCTCATGTACCACATGTGATGCGAATGACAGTAAACTTGACTTGAACCTGCTCCTATGGACTGGCCACTGCCTTCGGACCGTAACCAGCTACATGACACCTTGATCCTGACTTTTCAGGACCTTAATGGTCAATTTAAACTCACGTCCAACAAATTTGCGTCAACATTAATGCCTCCATTTATCTAACTTGCTTTTTTTATGAGCGTTTGCTTTTAGTCTAGCACAGAACTGACCTCCGCGCTCATACAGTATGAAAATGAACGTGCAGGATCTTGCTCAGATAAAGTTATCCATCATTCCTGCTTTTCCTACAATTCTAAGTTGTGGTGTTGATGCAAAGTAATCGATGGCAGCTTATTTAAATCAGCCCTCACACATTAGCTGTAGTAGTGAGTTAAAATGAAGCACTAATGTAAATGCCAACATTAAGCTGATATAATGGTCACTATAATGGATTTTCTTGGCAGGTGTGATGTATTTTAAACTGGAAATTATTGCTGGAACAAAGCGTTTGCAGCTAAGATAGGAACTAAATGTTGCTGTCTCACATGCTTTCGCAGAATCTGGCGAGAGTGCTCGGCTTCTCCTGGTTGCGCCGCTGCCGGAACCAACGCTGGATGGTGCGCACATCCCAGTCGAGTTGCTTGGACAGGCCCTCCAACCTCTTCTCATCTGGATGCTGGCAGGAAAGTCCCCAGAGTTATTTTTAGCTACATGATAAATTATAAAAGTAAAACGTGAAATGCATGTTGCACCTTGGTTATAGCAGTGAAAACCTTCTCCAGGATAGCGTTCGGCTGTGCCTTCTGGGGCCCGTTGGCTTGGATTTTTAGACCCATGGCACAAGGTCTTGCAATGAACCTGCAAAAAACAAATATTTCATGTCAAAATAAGGCGTTTTTCATCAATTTAGATTTATAACGAACATATTACAGATTGTAATGCACACATTCATACGCATCACATTTACCTGTTGCTAATAGTTACTGTTAGTTCCCAATGTATATTTTTGTTTTACCATAACCTGTCAATGGTTTGAATGCACGTGCTCTTACACAGCTTGTTTGGCTCTTAACAATTTATTATTGTTGCCAGCTGCAAAGGCAAAGGGAGACAATAATGTTTGACTGTCTGTTACTAAAATATCTAACGAACTATTCGACAGATTTTATTTAAACTTGTCGAACGTAATCTTTGGATTTACGTCTATAAATAATTAATTTTTGGAGTTTTACTAATTAAAGATGGCTGCCACAGCCAGCTGACATTAAAATCTAAAAATGGTTATAACTCAATTAATGTTACACGTGTGAATCTAAAACTTGGTGTGGCAGCAGCTGAGACTGATTCCTAACAAAAATTCTGAGAGCTATCCGATTACAGATTTATAAAAAAAAAAAATTGCCATGAACTATTTGGAGCAAACTTTATCTGTCTGTTAGCAAAATATCTCATGAACCACTGTATGTATTTTAATTAAAAAAATTAAGAAATAATCATCAGCTGTATCTCTAGGCCTGATTGACTTTTTGAGCTAACCAGATTCAAGATGGCTGCCACAACTAACTGACCTTAGAAAACACAGTACTGACTATATCTGAGTCAATTTGACAGATATTGACAGAGGTTGCAGCTGATAGTCATTTACAGCACATACTTTAAGTGCTCCTCGCTGTGTAAGATATTTGCTTAAAACTTTAGCATTATCCCTTGGAGTCAACCCAGTTTGTCTGTTAGCAAAATATTTATTAACCTTTATTTAACCAGGCAAATCCCATTGAGATCACAGATCTCTTTTGCAAGAGAGGCCTGTGTCTGAAGGCAGCCTAACATGCATGTTTTTGGTCTGTGAGTGGAAACCGGAGTACCACACAGAAAGACCCCAGGTCCAACCGGGGACTGAACTCAGGACCTTCTTGCTGTGAGGCCACAGTGCTAACCACTGATCCATCATGCTGACATCTCATCAAGAATAATGTGGATTTTAATGAAACTTTCAGAAAAATAATAACTGGATGTACAACAACGTATCAACTTTTGGATCAGCCCAATTAAAGCTGTTTGCCACAGCTACAGTATGTGATATTAGACAACACAAAAATGGCTAAACTCAGTTTTACAGCTATTGAGCTCAAATTTGGGGTGGTTACTGAGCATCATTTGCAACAATGACTCCACATGTGACGTGTCAAAGCAGCTACAACTCAGCCACTTCTTCTGAACAATACATCAAAACTCTGGCATGAAAGGAAGTGATGGTGAATTTCTTTTTTTTTTTAAAGCTAGGCCTTTATTGTTGTGAAATATTTACGCAGACTAGTTGGGGTTTGTTTGGCAACTGATATTTTCTGTTAGAAAGAACTACTGAAAGAAATCCTGGGACACTGTGGAAGATCAACCAACCGAGTTCACGAGGAGAGTTTTATAAATTATAAAGAGCCTAAACAAAGCAGCGTGTTGAGGGGAGGAAGGCTTCACTCGCAGCCTCCAATAAAGACACGTGATGAGAAGTGATCTGTTGATGACTGAGTGAGACATGGCTCACAACATGAAACATGAATTCTGAACTGTTAAAGGATGATGCTTCAGCTTTGGGCTCCAGGTGGTCAGGTCTGTGCGCTCTGACGGACGCACGGAGAGCAGAACGCTGCAGGCCTGAAGGAGAAGGATGATCCGCCGTGCACATCAGGTGCCATTGTTTTGGAAGGGGGGGACAGACTGCATGCGCATCGCTCATACACACAACAAACCAGCACACCCCCCCAGCCACCAGCTCACCTTTCAAACACCAGCCGTATCATGAAGATGCAGAAAGCTAAAGGACACGCCAGATACAGATCCTCTGCTTGCGGGAACGTCGCCTCATCTGTGTTCTTCAAATCAGCCCAGGTTACGTTATGAGGGAGCCAGAACCTCTCGTTCCAGAACCACGCCAGGATCCCGGCCATGTCTCCCTGCAGCGGACACCGAGGAAGAGGAGGAGGATGATGATGGGAGCTCGGAGATGAGCTGATGCCCGTCCGCTTCAGCTGCTGTCCCAGTCAGTCAGCTGAAGCTGGCCCAATCCTCAGCAGCTGAATGCTGCGCGGAAATGCCAGTACGACTCTGGTAATCTAGATTAGAATAACACACAACAAATGACTGGCTTTCTGTGCTTCATTTATTATTTACATTAATGGTAGCCAGACAAAGACCCGCCTACCTCTGAAAACAGCCCAACTCAGCTGTTTGTACAAGAAAATAGATCAGCAGCATGTTTTGTAAAACTCTGCCACCTAGTGGCACATGGGGCGCATTACTAAAATCACCCGACACTACATTTAAGACAAAAGAGGTTGAATCATGTCATCTGGACTTCGTTTTTTTTTTTTGTTAAAAAGAAACGTTTCGCCCCTCATCCAAGAGGCTTCGTCGGTCTGAGGCCTAGCCATCTGGTATTACCCAGAAGCCACCCTGACTCTTGTGTTTCAAGCCTGCCTCAGATACCCCTGAAGTCTGGCCTTTTCACTAATGGTTTCAAAAACACAAAGTTTGTTTTCTCAGTCATTCAGGTATATAACAACAAAAAAGGTTGAATCATGTCATCTGGACTTCGTTTTTTTTTGTTAAAAATGATTCAACTATATATATATATATATAAAAAAAATATATCCACCTCCTGAAAACCAAAACATTCTTCATATTTTCATCCAAACACTCATTGGTATAAATGGTAAAACTACAGTCAAAATGTTAAAAATATAATTTGAAGATAGCTCAAATGAATCTCTTATTTTACTTTGCAAATTGAAAACAGACACTAAGTTTCACTGGATAACCTATTCAATTAGTGCACATTAGACACATCTATAGTGCGCGCAATATATATTTAATTGTTTCTCATGTGAGCACGAAATTGATAATTTTTTGTTTTCCTGCGCACACCACACAGTCATTTATTTTAGCCAAGGGAGCTTCATATGGCACTCACGGGGCTCCGTAGTTCTTTCCAAGGGCACCGTATGCAAATTTCTCACAGCGGGTGTAATGTGACGGCGCCATCTAGTGGACATTGCGAGCACAGTCACGTGCACTTTTAGCTGAGACACATTAAATCGTAACACATGCGTGTCAGAGTCCCTAAAACGACAAAAAGCCAAACGAAATTATAAAATAAATTAAAAACGTACAGAGGTCATTTTAAATACATTAAAACGGTTAAGCTACTTAAATCATGCAGTAGGAGCTAATTTTGCAGTATACTGGGGCTGTAGTCGTCAGCTGCCCCACTAAGAAGATTAAAAGTGATTTTCAACAAGGTCTTCCTGTGTGTGGCGAACTGGGCGCGCGCGCATGTGTACGCTCCGTTATTTTCCGGGTTGAGCTCGCGCTGGCGGGGGCTGTCGTGCTGCAGCTGCCAGCTGACACTTCCACGGAGGAGGTGAGGTCAAACCGTCTGTTCCTCTGCCCCGACGCGACAGAGGCAGCTAACTAGCGCATCCTCCTCCTCGTTATCATCATGGCGGACCAGCAAGGAGAAGCTCCGCCGCAGCAGCAGCCCGCGGTGACAGCCAGCTGGCCAATTACCAGGGAGTCGTACGAGCTGCAGGAAGTCATAGGTTTGTAGTAGACGTGCGTGTGTGTGTTTGACGGGGGGACTGTGGGTGTAATCGTGGAGGAGGCTGTAAGGGAAGTCGAGGGCCTACCGGCTTTTTTCCCCCCTCGAAGCTTTGCAATGCGGATGTTAAGAGACCGGGCAGATCTGTCGAGACAAGCCGGAATCAGTGCTGCTGCTCCGGGGTGGAAGTGTCCCATTCAGCGGGGCTCAGATCCAGCTGCTTCTGTTTGTTACAGAAATCACTACAGCTGTGACTTTCACATGGAATACGAAATCATCTCGAGCGAATACAGAAGTGTTTTAAATGCATTTCCACCCCCAAAAAGGGAACTTGAATTAATTAGGCTATTATGCGCAAAAAAAGAGTTTTGCCTCACAGATATCTCACTTTAAATATAAACATAATTTTGATTGCAAATGACTATTGATTTCATATTTGAACTGTTGATATTTAAATAATTGCAAACATTTTCTTAGTTGTCTTGTAATGTAACACTTTAAAATTTGTTTAAAGGCCGTAACAGCCAAAAGTACTATTTTTTTTCAAGGTTCTTTATTGTCATTCGCATCACATGTGGTACATGAGGTGGACGGAAATTGTGTACTCAAGGTCCCCCCAAAGTATCAAAACTATAAAGTATAACAAAGACACGGTATACAAGGAGCTAGGATACGCTAAACAATATAATGTAATATAATACAGTGTATTAAACAGCAGCCTGAACATGAGTCTGTTGCGCTCTTGAGGCCTTTTGGATCACAGGCTCGCCTTCTCTAGCCTCGGTTCCACCGCTTCCCCAGTAGTTTTCCAAATTTATCGATATGAAATTCTGAAATGCAGGTACTCGTTTAATGTAAACAAAGCACTTTTATTTGCATGCTTTACCCAACGAATCTGAGATTAAATGCGTACCAATAAATCAAAATTGTTGGACTTGGTCCCAAACAGCTTTTCTATGGCCGACGAAATAATAAAAAAACTAAAAATCAGAAACTCAGTTAGTTTATACCATTTAATTAATAAATCAAGTAAACCATCTTCGTCAGCGCTACAAAACTGTTGATGCTAAAGTGTCAGTATTTATTTATTTACCCTTTATTTATACAGGTAGTCTCATTGAGTCACGAGAACTCATTTTCAAGAGAGACCTGTTTGGGAGCAGATGATGGGGGTTAAATGCCTTGCTCAAGGGCCCATAGTGGGGCAAATGAGGGAGGAGGCATGTGTGTGTGTTTCACATTTTCTACCCACATTTTAATGTTGTCAGTCTGGGGAGTTGAACCTGCGACTTTCCGATCACAGGCCCATCTTCTCTAACCTCTTCACCACCACTCCCTTATATAGTATTATATTTATTCCTAGTAATACAGCTGCATTGTTTTTCTGTTACACCTATATAATACATAAATGCTTAGTAGTACTTCTGTTTTATAAAGTTGTGTACTGTCGCATACCAGAAAACATCAAGACTATACAATATGAATGTATTAAGTACTAGCAGCTATACAAAAAAAAAAGTAACTTGGTGTAAATTCTTTGTAAAAATATGAAAATGAGTAAAATTTAAAAAGTACACAAAGGATTTGTGTTCTTTATAATGAGCTGAACCAGCTTATTTGAATAACATTTGAGCTCTGGTGATGGTTTGTAACACTTGGGCTTTTGATGCAAAACGTGTGGCCTGCAAGTGTAAATTGCACTCGGACAGAAAAGGATTGTATCGTTTTGTGCAAAAGTACAAACATTTTTTGTTAAAACTTCTAAAAGCGTGGACAAATCTAACCTTTACAAGAGTATCTACATTTAAATAAATCACCAAAGGTTAGTTTTAGTGATTTTCTTCATTAATTTTGGAAAATATACACCAAAGCAACAGTAGTACGTCTTTAATTCAACGAGAACGAACAAATAAAAGCTGTGCAGTATAATGATTTTCTTTTTTTGTTGTTGAATGCATGTTTTCTAGAGATGACTTTACTTGTCGTGGGATTAGTGATCAGAAACACAAGAGCAATACTTTCTATTTAAAAATGAACAGGAAAGCAGTCGGATCTTTATTCACTGACTGTGACTTACGGGGCAGCGTGTTGCAGCATCTTGGTGTGAACGGCTTCACCGCTCGACCCAGCAACACATCGCGTTTGAAACAGTGATGCACGTTAAAGTCCGTTTACTTCAGCATGAGAAATGAAAGCTGTCACCTGAGCACAAAGGCCACAGAGTGACGCTGAATTCTAAAGTCTTCCAGCTGCGTGTGTGACGTTAATCCCTGTTGGCTCCTGTCCTACGTGGCTGTGATTGCAGGCAGCGGTGCCACAGCTGTGGTGCAGGCAGCCCTCTGCACCCCCAGACAGGAGCGTGTTGCCATAAAGAGAATCAACCTGGAAAAATGCCAGACCAGCATGGACGAGCTGTTGGTGAGTACAACAAATATGGGCTGTTTTCTTAACCTTCTCCAACTCATTACTCTCATCCATGTTGTTATTCTTCTGTTTTAAGAAAAGTAAAGCTTTGCAGCTTATAACGAGATAATCTGTTGCACAGCAGTGAAATCACGTGACGACTTGCAAATCGATAAGCGGCAACTAAAGTTCTGATTAAAAGTGAGATGTTTTTGGTTTTTAACGGTTTGTCATTTATCTTCCAACAGAAAGAAATCCTTGCCATGAGTCAGTGCAGCCATCCAAACATCGTCACCTACTTCACCTCTTTTGTTGTGAAGGATGAGCTTTGGCTTGTCATGAAGCTTCTGAGTGGAGGTAAGCTTAGTCCTGCCTTAATACCGCCTAATATTATATACACAAGTATGAAGCCTTCGATGCTCTTTCACAGGTCTGTGTTTGATTAGCTGAATATGGAACAAGCAGCTTTTACCATCATCTCTAACAGGAAACTCAAAAATAACAAAAAGAGATGTAAAACATCTGACTACACAGTAACATCCAGTCAGTCTGGCTTTGTATTTAACTGGTAAACGGTGTTGAATTTACAAACAACTTTTGAAATGTTTGCCTTTGATTCATGAGTTTTGAGCGATATCTAGCTTACTTTTGAACATTTAAAGGGATATGGGCTGCTGTTGTTTGACATATTGTTTTGTACTATTAGTACTTAGTGTATTCTTAGTTTAGCATATTTCTTAGTTCATATCTTAGATCTTACTACTGTTTTTCTTTACAATTTGTATTTTGTTGGATGAAACTGGGACCCTGTGTACATAGTTTCGTTCCACCACATGTACCACATGTGGTGTGAATAACAGTAAAGACACCTTGACCTTGGATAGTTCAGATTGCGCATAGGGTTTCAACCCAAGTCCAGTCCCCTGAGGTTGAACACTACAGCTGCTTCTCCACGGGCGTGGCTTTAATCGGTTCACATCGACTCCACATCAGTCAGTTGTCTCCATTACCAGTTCCTGCTTGGGTTTTGGACCCGCCTCAGCCATGGTTCCAAGCGAGCCGAGCTGAGGAAGCGATTTTGACGTCGGCAAACTGCAGGCGTGGATTGACGACGCTGGATGAGTCTGGGCTGTACTTGCAAACTCCTCCATTTTCAATCCAGTTGTTACAGAGCGTAATTTCCTGAGATGGAGATGGCGAGCTGCAAATCCAATGTAATCTCATGGACCAACGATGAGGTGCAAACCTTTTTCTCCCTTTTGGCTAATGAGGGCATAGAGCGTGAGCTCGACGGAGCCACGAGGAACGAGCGAGGTGTCTGAAAAACTGTCTGCCCATGGCTACACTCAAACGTATGAACAGTGCCAGGACAAATTTAAACCAATGAAATCTGACTATCGCCTGCTTTGCACTGATGATCCCACCCACGATGTGAGGAATACACTCCCATTGGAGACATACCTACACTTGACTTGAATATAACCAAATGGGAATGAAGCTATTAGAGTGGTACTTAACAATGGAGATGCTGTTTAAGTGAAAGGAGGGGAGGCAGAGGACTAGCGACTCTTAGAGGCAACATACAAGATAAAAGAGCATAGATCCTGGAGTACATCATGAAGAAATCACCCAGTATGCACTATTATGAATGTCTCAGACAGCAGAAACCCATTGTGGAAGAGGTGAAACAAGAGGAGCCATCATGGAAAGTTAAACCCCTGCATGGCATGCACAACTGAGAGATTGGGAAGTGGCTGATATCAACAAATCCTACCAGTTGCTAGAGATGGCTGAACAAAAGGACACTGCACTAATATCATGGCAGCACAGAAGCAGTAGAGGATGGGGTCTGCAATGCCAGACAGGAGCCAAGATGCAGGCTGTAAGATGCCCCTGAGACAGTCTAACACATAATGATGTAAGATGTAGACAAGTAAAGCATATATGGGATGCCATAACCACCAAGGATGGTGGACTCCTCCTGGGTTAAGATACTGTGGGACTTGTGGATCCAGACAGGTGATGTCTAACCAACCAGACATGCAACAGAAGAAGGCAGTGGTGATAGATGTAGCAATCCTGAGCGACTGTAACACCAGAAAGAAAGAGCACAAGAAGCTTGGGCTGAAAAAAAAAAATACAGAAGTTGTGGAGAGTCAAGGCCTCAGAGGTACCAGTGGTACCAGTGGACACTGGAGCACTTGGTGCTGTGACCCCCAAACTAGAATAGTGGCTCCAGTAGATCCTAGGAACAACCTCAGAAGAGCCCAGTCCTAGGAACAGCTACGATGCTGCACAGAACCCTGAAGATCCCAGGCCTCTAGTAGTTTGTTTTAAATTAACGTTGAGCTTTTTTGGTGTTGTTTTAGGTTCTATGCTGGATATAATAAAGCATTCAAGCAAAGAAGATGATAAAGATCGGTACTTAGATGAGCCTATTATTGCCACCATATTAAAGGAAGTTCTGGAGGCCCTGGATTATCTCCACAGAAATGGACAAATTCACAGGTAACCTTTGTATCTGGTAATTCTATTTTATTCAAGTTTTTTCTGTATTATTTTAGGATTTAGGAAACTGCTAACATCAGTAAAAAAGTAGTGGTTTTGCAGCAGTTAGAATGTTGCCATTTGAATCAGTGCAAAACATTACAAATTAAATCATCAAAGTTCATGCTCCATCATCCAGGTACAAAATCCAATAATGTTCAGTCAGGCCATCTGGACTGCTTCTTTTATGTGGAAAGACGTTTCGCCCTCTATCCGGATAGAGGGCGAAACATCTTGCCACAAAAATGCAACTGTCCAGATGACATGACTGACCATTACTGGATTACAAATTAAAGGTTGATGGAATTTAAACATGTTAATTAATCTAGCCTTAACTCGGTTGTGGTGTTCTGTTCTGCACACTTCCTGGGTGTCAAGGTCACTGAGCGCTGGGCTTGAACCTCTGTTTGCCCCTCGGGCAGAAGTTCCAGGCAGGATAGTTCGTTTGACTCTGTAACACAAATGGAAGAATCAATGCTGCTGCATGTGGCTTTGACGTTTTACTCCCATTATTGTTTTGTCCACCACAGGGATGTGAAAGCTGGGAACATACTCCTGGGAGAAGACGGTTCTGTTCAGATTGCAGGTTTGTTGTTGGATTCTGCTCTTTTCTGCCTGTTTTTTTAAAACCATTTTACAGATTTCACACTTGCCCTCCTAAACTCATAGCTCGTCGTGGTTTTATGTTCAAAACATGCGCAGCAGCAGGTCCACTTCTCTTTCACACATTTGTTTTGGCTCTTAAAGACGAGAAGGCCGAGTCGGTTCTGATTGCTGATTTAACTGGTGATGAATCGCAGCTTCTCGTTTGAAGTGTCCTAATCTTACCACTAGGCAGACATTGGGCAGATGTGTTTCATGTTTTTTTTTATTATATTATTTCAAGAAAAATGACTTAATGTGCCATTTTTAGCAGTGTCTTCTTCTGATGACAATATCTTCCTTTGGCATGAACAAATAGTGCACAAATAGTCGCAGCATGTAAACTCCGATGCTTCCCTGGTATCAACCACTTTATATTCACTTTTTTATACGACTGTCGAACGTCCTGATGGTATCGGCTCCGTCCAATTGTCTGTTCGTAAACTTTCTCTTGTTCCGCCCATAACTTCTGATTGGCTCAATATAATAAAACGTCATACACGTATGCATCATCACTAGGCGGAGTGTGCATACACTTTTTTGATTACCCCCAGCTGTAAGGTCAAGGTCACAAATCAAGGTCAAAGTTAAAAAGGCATTTGCTTGTCCGGGCTATAACCTAATCCTCTCAAGATAATTTAATGACATGATACACATTAGTACCCCCACTAGACAGCATGTTGTGTAGTCTTTTCATCATCCCCAGCTCTAAGGTCACAAAGCAAGGTCAAAGGTTATACAAAGACTTAGCTTGTCTGGATCATTGCTAAAGATGATATTAGATAAAGATGAAGCAGATGGCCACTTGTCCTGAGCCTGGTTCTGCTAAAGGTTTCCTCCTCATGAGGGAGCTTTTCCTTTCCACTGTCGCCTTCATGCTCAAGATGAGAGTTCTGCGATGGAGTTAAATTCAAAGCAGTCTGCTCCTCAGATATATAATGTTAAATTATTATTTTTATACATGAATGTTTCTGTTCAGTGCCCAGAGATGACTTCTGTTGCGATTGAGCGCTATATAAATAAACTGAATTGAATTGAATATTACTGTATGCTGTACTTGTGGTAAAATAGCTTAAACACTGGTTCATTGAAAATATTTGTTATATTTACTTCACACAGAAATAATGTGAGTTTGAATGTTTTAAGATTAATGCTGATAATCTATTTAGTTTTTTTCTTTTAGCAATGACAATTACTGACCAGACTTTTTGCAGATTTACCTTTTAAAATTTAAAGTTCACAGCTACCATAACATAAAACAGCTGTTTGCCATATTAAGATCCAATGCAAAGATCTGTTCTTCATTCATAGCAGGAACAAAGTTAAATTAAAATGACAAAAGTTACATTAAATACGTTTTTTTCTTTTGTTTAACAGTAACAGGATAAAAGTAAAAGGAAGAAAGTAGTTCAGACATCTGCTGCACAATCTGAGATTGTAACTAATGGGTGTGATTAAATTTCCTTTTTTATGTTGTTTTTATAGATTTCGGAGTCAGTGCGTTCCTTTCTACAGGAGGCGACGTAACTAGAAATAAAGTTCGAAAGACTTTTGTTGGCACGCCTTGCTGGATGGCTCCAGAGGTGATGGAACAGGTGAGCTCATCTCAAACATCTTTGTTTTCCGGAATGTTTCTTTTTGGTGCAAAACATCGCAACATGCCGCAATGTGGTATGTTTTTAGGTTCGAGGCTATGATTTCAAAGCAGACATATGGAGTTTTGGGATTACAGCCATAGAGTTAGGAACAGGATCTGCACCCTATCACCGCTACCCTCCTATGAAGGTGAGTGCTTCAAATGAGTCATGATGATGATTTACTCCTGTAACTTTCACTGGAAAGGAGACGATGAAAACACAGGGAACATACAGTTGGATTACTCAATGTTTTCTGCAACCTGCCCTTGTTCTGTGACATTGCGTTAGTACCGTATTTTTCGGACTATAAGGTGCATTAAGCAGATAAGTCAAACTTTATTCAACTCGTTCACAATAACCACATAAAATCAGTTCAAGGTCGGTAAGCACAACCAGAATTAATACATAAGGCGATTATAAGGCTCACTGTCGATTTTTGAGAAAAAGGATTGAAGGTGCGCCTTATAGTCCGAAAAATACGGTAATTAAAATCCACCGATAAGCCATTTATATTTGCTTTATAACGCATTTTGTCATTCCTTTCCCTCATCTGCTTTGTGCTTTGTTGCATTGCTGCTAAAACATGTTTGTTTTCAACAATTTTTTGTTGTTGTTGTGTTTTCAGGTTTTAATGCTTACACTGCAAAATGATCCACCCACTCTAGAGACGGGCGTAGAAGACAAAGAAATGCTCAAAAAATATGGCAAATCGTTTAGAAAGTTAATATCAATGTGCCTTCAGAAGGATCCTGCCAAAAGGTTTGCATCTTATTTTATATATTAGTTGAATATTTCAAACAAAGGTTGAAGCTGGCGCAGTTCGCAGTCAGTAAAAAGAACACGATCTTTGTTAATGTTGCTGTGTTTGGATATATTTTAAACACTGTATTTCTTGTTTTGGCACCAGCGAAGGCTGTTTTTGTTATTCGGGCCCTGCTCTGGATATGTAAAAGCAGCTCTTATTTTTTCTCTATATAAAATAGCATTTGTTTGGTTTCCAGCTGAAGTAGTTCTTAGTTCTGCATTTTTTCTGATGTTTGTGTCCCTTTTTCAGAAGCACCTTCCCTGCCTACAGGTTTTCAAGCTTTACTTTCATTAATTTGTGTGTGTGTTTGTTTTACCTCTAGACCTACGGCTGCAGAGCTTTTGAAGTGTAAATTTTTCCAAAAGGCCAAGGTATTTGTCTCATCTCAAATAATAGGCACGCTGTCTTTGTTTGGTTTTGTTATTAACGTTGTGCTTGTGGCTTCAGTCCAAGTCCAACAGTGACTCACTCGTGTGCTCCAGTGATTTCATGCTGGTTTGTGATGGTTTATCAAACCACAAAGTGAGCAGCAGCAAATAGGTTATCAGTTTTAATAAACCAACAATACATAGTTCTAGTAAAGCAGGTGCTTGGTAGTGTCTTGCCACGGTTAGAAGGTTCTGGCCTTAGCTTAGTTTTTTTTTTTTTTCAGTGAAATTTTCTGCTTGCTCTTTTAAATTTAGAGTATCTGCATAACAAAACTAATATTTGTATTAATCATACACCAATAGCCATTCTGGTTCTGTGAATGTGACATAGCAGGATCAGGCATCTCCATTCTGTTTTAACTTTAACCTATTTTTTTCTGCTGCAGCTAATTAAGAGCTTTTGTTTAAAGAATAAACCGCTTGGGATTTTTTTTCTGACTCATAATTAAGTTTCAACGGTTTTCTCTTTGTTCCTCCACTTTTCTCTCTTGCAGAACAAGGAACATCTCGTTGAAAAGCTTTTGAGTTGTGCACCAAAGATTTCTCAGAGAGCAAAGAAGGTATGTTTACATAATTACACCCTGCAAAAGATCCTACTTGTATTATTCAAACACGAGTAAAGGGTGCAAGAATCGATCGAGGAGGCTTTCTCCTGCAACACTTAGTCAACGCAGCCTCTGTCGTTTTGCAGCGCATCAAACACGATATGTTTTGTTGTGTAGAAGATGTTAAAATGTTTTCCTCCATGACATAAAAGCCTTGCTGCGCACTGCAGCACTGATGTTTGTCAGTACACTTTAAAAGCAGCTTCCTGCATGTGCAAAAGGTAAATTGACTGCTACCGTCAGTCAAAAAGAACGGCACTCAAATTCATGTTTGTTTGCTGTGTTGCCCCACATCTTCCACTTTAGTGGAGAGGAAGTGCAGTTGTTTTCAGAGGCAACTGATATTGGCTTCACAATGATCCGCCTGAATGCCCAGGACAGGAGCGGGCAGAGAGGGCATTGCCACAAAAGACAAAGTGGTGCAGGGGTGGACATCATGTGGTCCGGAGTACATAAAGGACATAATACACAGCACAAGTGTTATTGTGGATGATAATTGTGCACAAACAGAGCAGGGTGATATATTGTTGTTGATGGTTTAAGTGTGAATTAGTGGCTTGCAGCAGCAACAAGAGGGTACGGACTGCTTCATGAATATGTAGAGGTAATATTAAAAGAGCAAACATTGTCCTCTAGTAGTTTACAAGCATGCAATTATTTGAGAATATAATTAAAATGAGCTTTAATATTATGGTTTTGCAGAATAAAGCTTTCGATATATGAGACAAAGCAAATAAAATGGCTTTCTAAATGTAATTTTAGTCGATGGAATTTGTCCCAAACAGAACGTAGTGAGCGAACTGAATCTTCCACTGTAATAATTTCCCAGGGTTTCTACATGCTGAGTTGTGACAAAAGTGTAATTGCAGTCGTGGAGATTTCTGAGCAACAGAGCCGGTGTCCTTGTTGCTTTGTGCTGATTTGACCTGCAGAGTCATCCACATTATAAACTCAGCAACATTACCCAACGCTTGCCGAGACAAGCAATACTGTGGAAACACAACTATCCCAGGATGCTGTGACCTTAGCTACTTCCAAACCTCTTTACTCAGCACCTCTCATTAGACAATCTCTTTAAATCTTTTGACCTCCTCCATCTGCAGCATTTTCCTCTTTTGGACCTTGGTTCCTTGAGATTCATCGCCTTGTGCGGAATTCTGTACTCATTGTAAAAATATTGACTCCGAGGTAATAAATATTCAAAGATAAGACCTGAATCTGTACAGCTAGGCACTCGTTTAAGGAGGATCTTATTTCTCCTTTTACCTACCCCAGGGAATGAACAGGAGCTGGCAGATTTTGTCATCAGAAAGTAATTATAGATGTTATCTAATGGTTGGAGAGAATGAATGGAAAGTCTGTTTAAAACAAAAAGGGAATGGGAAGAGTGAATGATGCCTCATTTAGAACCTATAAACAAGACTGTGTCATATTTTAATTTAAATGTAAAAGATTACGTTCAGCAATGCAGTTGTATTTGAACTAAACATCCAGCAGAGGGCGCACTCGCACACATCTGAAGCTTCAAATAAACAGCAGCCATCGTTGAGAAATATATGGGCTTGAGATATTAATTAATTTAGCAATAAAATAATGGACGAAAAACAAAACTGAATGGTGATCAGTTTTAATGAATGACCTTGTGCAGAAATGATCATCAACAACTGACTGAGCTTTTCTTGGGCACTTTCTAAAGCCCAGTTTTAAAAAGATCAAATTTACCTAGAACGTTTTGCAGCTGTAGCCTCTGAAAACCTTGAAATCTTTCTGTGGGGTGCTCATGTTTGGCTTTTGCATTGATCTGTGTCTGTTCTGCTCAGATACCCTGAGCAGAACTGGAGGTGTCTTTGTCTTATCTCAGATTTGGAAAGCAAACCCGACACCAGCAGAAGGCTGGAGCTGCTTTAACTCTGACCTCGTCCAGAGCACAGGGAATTTATGAGGCCGGTGGCTTGCAGCGTTGTGTGCTGACTCTTCTGTATCACTTTGCAGTTCCTCTGACCTCACATTTCTAGACTGAGCTGCACATCTTGCATGCTTTTCTACTCTAAACTGGAAAAAAGTGCTTTTTTTTTTTTAAACAATGATTTTGCTTTACTCCCAGAATTTGTTTTATTAAACAGTCAATTGTTTAACTTATTTCTTTTTATTAATTTTAACAGAAATAATTAAATCCATTGTGATTTATTAATTAAAAACCTTTAATTTAGAAAATATTTGTTTGCAATGCAATGTTTAATTCTTTTTTTTAAACAGCATACAGAGAGTTGCTTGTATATTAATTCAAATTGTATAAAGAAGCAGTTTCAGAAAAATATGTGAAACTAAACTAGAGAAATTGCATTTTCTGCGAATATGCTGTGTGAAGGCGTATTGCTGAAGAACTTGCTGAAAAACAGCTGAAATGAGCTAAAAACATTCTTAAATGTGTCTGAAATGGAAGAACAAACCTAAGGTGGCAGAAAAAGCAGAAAGAACACAATTTGCTGAATTTGGTTAAAATAAGGCAGAAATGAACACAAAAAACTCATAAATTAGCTTAAAAAAGGTAAAATTGGCAAGAAATAGCTGAAAAGTAGCTGAAAAGACGCTGAAATTACCAGAAGGAAGTGGCAATAGCACAATTATGCCCAATTAGGTTGAAAAAAAGCAGAAATGAGCACAAAGAAGTGGAAATTATCTGAAAAGGTCAGACATTTGCCAAAAACATCTGAATAGTAGCTAAAAGAACAGAAATAAGCTTAAATTAACAGAAAGAAGTAGAGAGAGAGAGCAGTTGTGTCCAGTTAGGCTGAAAGAAGCAGGAATGTGCACAAAAAATGGAAATTACCTGAAAAAAGCAGATATTTGCAAAAATAAACATCTGAATAGTAGCTAAAATGGCAGAAAAAAACTTAAATTACCAGAAGGAAGTAGAGAGCACAGTTGTGCCCAATTAGGCTGAAAGAAGCAGAAATGAGCACAAAGAAGTGGAAGAACAAACAAACAAACTTACGGAATAGATAAAGCAGGAATAACAATATTACATAAAAACAGGATTACTATAGTGTGAACGCTTAATAAGCATTCACACAATAAAAATGGTAAAAGAGAAAACTCTTTCTTAAACAGTTTAATCCATTTGCAAATAAAAGCAGAATGTGATGATTTTAAAACCATTTTGAGTACATTTTAATCAGGACTGGCACAAACATAGCTTTTTAAATATTAAAATGTATAATGGAAAAAAAGCTCCGTTTGAATTTCTATCCCAGTAAAGAAACGGGAACATATTTACCAGTTTATGTACTTCTGTTGTAACAAAAGCTGAACTTTTCTGATATTGTGTGTTTTTATGTCCACAATATGCAGCAAGTGCTGAAGCGTGGATAAATAGCATGCTTATGCACACGCAATTTAAAAACTACTGTGTGTTGTGTTGGTCAAGGTGAGGAGAGTCCCCGGCTCTAGTGGCCACTTGCACAAGACGGAAAATGGCGACTGGGAGTGGAGCGACGACGAGCTGGACGAGGGCAGCGAGGAAGGGAAGGTAGCGGCCACTCAGGGCAGGGTAAGCAAGACGCTGCAAAAATCATCAGATTTTGTTATCGTTTGATGATAAAATGCATTTAGAATAAATCCACTACACGTTTTGAACTAAGCAGGGCTGTTTCAGTGTTGCATGACCCTCCCGACCCTTCTGTTTTGGCCTCTGTTCATTCCTGTCCTCCTCCATCAGTCAGTTTTGTAGCAGATGTCTGAAAGGATCTGCCACGAGGTCGCTGTAATGAGCTGCAAGATTGCTGTAAAAATGTTCGGCAGAAGGAAGAAGCTTGCTTTGATCAAAGATTCTTTTGATAAGAAAAAAAAAATAGACTTAAATAGAAGATGCGGCAAGTGATATTTCACCAACAGCAATGATTTAAGAAAAAAAGTTACTGCTGATGTTGATTTTTCAAGCTTATTACTTTCAACTTCAAATAAAGTTTTAAAAAGGAGTTTAAACAAATGCGCATGAATAGAGAAACTAATGTGTGACATTTGTAAAATACAAAACATTTAGTTCTCCCTGTAATTATTAAATGTAATATTACTTGCCTTTATTATTGGTTTTATTATATTTACTGTGCATGATCATGTAAATTTGATTTTTTTTTTATTTTTATTATTTTTATCCTGCAGTCTCGAAGGGTCAAATACGAGGCCAAAGATGTAAGTTAGCATCTCATTCCCATCTCATTTGCAACTTGAAGTTATATGATAAATACCAACTGTAAAGTAGAATGTTAACAACAAACTGGTTATATTATTACTGCTCTTGTGTGTTTTTGGAAATCCCGCCAGTCTTTATTTCAAATATGTTTGTATAAGAATTATATTTTCAGTGTTGTTTGGAAACACCCAAACTTCTACAATAAAACAACAACAACAACAACAAAAACCAGAACCTGCTTTAAATAGTCTATTGAAGTCCATTCGATGCACTGTATCATTGGTTTGTAGCAGCTTCTCTCTGCTCTCTTCATAAAATGAGCTCTGATTTGATATTTGCAAGCATTCGTGCTATTATTCCTCCCATTTCCTTCCTCCTAGGATGAGGAAGATGCCAACAATATCCCCATAGAAGGCTTGTCTGTTCAGCATCCCCAGGTGAGGGATTCAGCAGAAGCTGCACTCATTTGTCATGATTCAATGACCTTGATGATTTTGTGTGTGTGCCTATATTTCTACATGTGTGTTTGTGGGTGTGCTTGCCTCTGTGTGCATATGTGTGTGTGTACACACACGTAGGAGTTTCTGTTTCCTGGATGGATGCTCTCAGCAGTAATAACTCAGAGTAAATGGCTCTCTGCCTGACAGGACCAGCTCAGTAGATAGGTGTATCTCATCTGAAGACTTACTACTGTTGTGACTCATTTTCTAATGTTATTGTTTGAAACGGAGCCAAAGCATTTTTAGGTGTAGTCCTGTGCCCAAGTCAGGAGTTAAGTACAGCTGCCACTCTGCAGCCACTTCTTCTTCAAAATATCTATTAAAACCATTAGTAATTTAGTATTTAACTAGAGAAATTGCATTTCCTGTGAAAATGCAGTGTGAATGCTTGACAGCTGAAATGAGCTAAAATACATTCTGAAATGTAGCTGAAATGGAAGAACAATACTAATTTAGTAGAAGAAAGCAGAAAGGCTGCATTTGCTGAATTAGGTTTTAAATGAGCACACAAAACAGTAAATTAGGTAAAAAAAAAAAAAAATGAAAATAGCAAATAATAACTGAAAAGTAGCTGGAAAGGCAGAAAGAAGCTTTACCAGAAGGAGGCGGAAGGAGCTGAAATGAGCAAAAAAAAAGTGGAATTATCTGAAAAAGGTAAAAAAAAGCATCTAAACGGCTAAATATTAGCTGAAAGAGCAGAAAAAGAGAAATAAATCTGAAAGGAGCATAACAAGCTGAAATTTGAATGAAGAAATTAATTAGGCTGAAAGTAGCAGAAATTACCATAAAAAACTTGAATATATCTGACAGCTTAAATTAGCTACAGAAATGCTAAAAATGTAGCTGAAAAGTTAGAAAAAGCTTAAATTAGCAGAAAAAAGCAGAAAGAACATGTTTGCCCAATTATGCTGAAAGAAGAAAAAAAATAGCACAAAAAAATGGTAATTATGTGAAAAAAGCTGAAATTAGCAAAAACAGTTGAAAAGTAGCTAACAAAAGCAGAAAGAAGCTTAAATCACCAGAAATAAGTAGAGAGAAAACATTTGTGCCGAATCAGGCTGAAAAAGGTTGAAAGGCGTGCAAAACATGTGAAATAATCTAAAAAAAATGCTCAAAGTAGCATAAAACAGCTAAAAAGTAGCTGAAATAGCTGAAAAAGCTGAAACTTGCAGAAATAAGTTGAAAGGAGCATCCCAAGCAGAAATTAGCAGAAAGAAGTTAGAAGAAGCACACAAATGTTTTAGTTAGCAGAAATAATCTGAATTAAGCACAAAACAGCTAAAAACACAGCTGAATTTAGCTGAACAAATGTTTAAACTTGCAGAAGGAAGCTGAACCAGAAGAAAATGTGAAAGGAGCAGTAACAGGTTGTAAACAGATCTAAAGGTGTGAAGGATGTAAAATGAGCTCAATTAATTTCCTATGAGAAAAAATGTCACAGAAAAGGCTAAAAATCCCACACCCCCCCCCCCCCCCCCCCCCCCCGAGCCGTATTCACTTCTCCAGCTGTTGTAAATAGAGGTTTGTTTTCATGTCTGTGCCCACTAATGCTTTATTCTTACTGTCTTACGCTTTCTTTGCAGTGTATGGTTTGTGTCTTTTTGTTGTTGTTGTTGTTGTTGTTGTTGTTGTTGTTGTTGTTGTTGTTTTAAATTCCTGCTGAGTAGAGAAAACGTGATTCATTGTCCAATATGTTTCGATGCAGGTGGAACCATATGAAAATACACCGTTCATTCAAGGTGCTGTTAACATGGTACTACGACTACGGTAAGACTGAAGACCGTTTTCTCCTTAAATCACACTGCAGGATTATAAAGTACACATTTCAGGTCATCAGAATCAACCTTTACTGTCATTGCACAGAAGCACAACAAAGTTACATTTCAGTACAGCCGTCCAAAGAAAACAACATGGGTAGACGGGGATGCCTGAGGCTGCAGTCTCACGGGAAGCGCTGCCCTTTTTGTTTAGAAAAGGAAAAGGGAAAACATGAGGAAAGAGGAGGTATAAAAAAAAAAAAAATCATATCTCACACTGTGTCCTTGACGGGACACAGTGTGAGGTTGCAACAAAACCTCAGCACAAGAAAAAGCAACATACTGGTGACTTAAAGACGTCATGCGGAGTGGGTGATGGTGGGGGTCCCAGTGCAGGCCACCCATGTGAGCGACGCAGCCACTGGCGCCTTCGCATCTACCTAGGTTGCTGCACCGGTGGGGCAAAATGAGGGAGGCCAGCGAAGGCAGTGAATTTGAGGGGAAGTGGTTTGTAAACACTGTCCAGATAGCGCCCCCGCCCCAGCCATAGTCCTGTTAAGTGATGGTGCAGTGTTTATCAGCCGGCTCGGTAGAGCTCTGACACAGGTCCATGTCCTTGGGGAAGGACAGGGCATCACATTTGATCCAAACATGCAGGCCACTAATAGGCTCCAAAAGTTTGTTTTTTTATGAATACCCAACTGTCCTCCCTTTTTCCTCATGCACCAGTTAAACTGTAAGCAGACACACCAAGTTTATACAGAGCATCTTTTTAGCTCCATTTGTGCTTCCACTGTGTGCTCCATCTCAGCTTTGGATTCACAAACCAAATTGCACTGAGTGCTGTGTATACTGGTGTGAACACACCCATTCAGTTCAGCCAGCATGAGCAATTTGCACTCTTTCTGCCTCTGATTGCAGCAGAACAGAGCTGTCCTTAATGGACGGTCTGTTATGACTGTCCATCCCAAACACAGCGAGGGTAAAAGTGAAAGAGAGAAAAAGGGAAAAAACGTGTTCTCACAAGTTTTAACAGATGAAGGGCGGAAAAACAAAAGAGAAGGTGTAATTATCCCACAAAATAATTTTCAGTCCTGCTACGCTGTAGATGTGAAGCACTACCAAATAATCATGCTTTTATATTATAATGCTAAATGTGCAACAGCAACAATAGGATTTTATGCCATTTGGTGATTTAATTAGAAATACAAAAGTATATGACTTATTGAAAGAAAGAATGAGTTAGACAAGGGGTGTGTTTTTGAGAATCTGATGCTTTGTTGAAATAAATATGGACAGATTTGTCTCTAAAGTCATGCATAAAACCTCGTTTAAATGTGGGCAAACTGCACCAGTGCAGAGGGATGCTGTGAGGTCGACGAGCAGATTTTGAGTCGACTATTTGTGATTCACAATTTAATTTGACTTGCAGCACAGCAATGTTCTTTCTGCAAGACTGCTGTTTATTAAAATATTTTCACGACAACGTGATTATACATAATTATGGGTGTCAATATCCTACAGTCATGAAACAACAAAGTTTAGTGGCACTATTTAAAATGGGGGACTTTAGAGATCAATAGTCAATTAGCCTGGTTGGACTGTACGTCGGAGCATATCTCATTTAATGCCAACTCTCACACATTTTAAAAAGCCTCGGAGTGGAAACACACAGAACAAACACCCATTTATGAATTTTTGGACGGCTGGGAGTTTAAATTGGTTGCTGAGCATACTCTTGTTAGAGCAGAGATCTGAAGGTCTCTCTCTGCCCAATGCAGAAAATTTATTTTATTCAACAACAAAACATGTGTTTATTAAAAATAAAAAAAAAACAACAACAAAAAAAAGGTATTTTTCAGACTATAAGGCACACTTAAAATAATTTAATTTTCTAAAAAATCGACAGTGAGCCTTATAATCCGGTGCACCTTATACGGTAAAAAACAACAGGCGGCAGCTAACTGTGATTAAGGTATATGGCGTTAGCCTTAGTACCACGGGATTAGTTTTACCCAGGGACCACATGCTATTTGTAATAATTACGGATAGTTTGTGTTGTTAATCCCGTGCGAATCGGCCATGTCAGTAATTTGTAAAGTGAAAATTCCCCCGCAACTTACCTACTATATTTTGCTGAACTCCTGTGATAATAACCAATCCAATGCGAACAGGCATCTCTGTGATTTGGACAGAAATGCACAGGATCCGATATGTAATTAGACGTTTTTGTTTTAAGCAAAATCATTTTGAAAAAATATAGAACAAGGCTATTTTAAATGAACGCGCCTTGTTCGATTCGGCTTTTTTTCTTCTCTTGCACCGGTCCTGGAGATACTGCAATACCAGGTCGATGCATGGAGTAGATGGAGCAAACCCAAAAAGCAAATCCATCTCCCTGTTCCAAAAATCAATTTAATATATGGTCCCTGGGTAGGGGGCGGCTTTTATGCTGCTACTTCCTTCACCGCAGATGACAGCAGGTGCGAAGACGCACGACGAGCTGACCCATCCATCCACCCGCTTCTTCCTTTTCGGGTAGCAGGATCGCTGGTGCCCATGTCCAGCCATCAGTGTGCGAGAGGCCGGAGACACACTGGACAGGTCGCAAGTCTATTTCAACCAGCGGGTCAGCGGACGCACGGACGCTCACATGCACGGCCGGTGACAGCTGTCCATCTGAGCTTAACGTGGCTTTTTTTTTTTAACCTCTTAAACCGGTCGGACCTACCTCCTCCTCAACAAGTAGATTAACACAATTTTATATTTTGCATTCTTTAGTTTTCTTTGAGCTGTTTTGTAAATCCACATCAAAACCCGAAACCGGCCCGGGCCGCACATTAATGGACCGGCTCGGTCGTGACAACGCAGCGCGTTAACATCATATCCGGAAGATGTCTGTAAATTTCAGCTAAATCTCAGACTTTGGTTATCCCGTGTGAATGCGCCACATAAAAAGCAGACGTTGAGGAGTAATTTATTTGTTACACGTGGTCCTTGGGTAAAACTAATCCCGTGTGAATAGGGCTATTGACAACAAAATGTGTAATACTTTATTTTCATCTCTGTCCTTCAGTTCGTGCAGAGAATCTGTTTGCAGCTCAGAATAGATGTTTATTAGCAGTTTAATACAACATAAGCTTTTATTGTTGCAGTTTCTATATGCAAGTATATTAATCTAATTTCTACAAATAAATTACCTTATTGTTGCCGTTTCTGGAAGGACTATTCCATCAGAGCTACAACCGTGTGTTGGAAACCTATTTAGATTTAGGTTTGAAAGCCTAATGAGAATATTTTTCTAAGAAAAGCTTTTTTATCTTTCTAGCTCTCCATTGTTCTTCAAATTATTCATATAGATTTTGCATTTTACACTAAAAGAAGACATCCAAACATACTTGATTTATTTATTACCGTTTTGCAAATTAAACAAGATCTTTTGAAAAAGGAGCGGCTGACCAGTTTAAAGCTGTTTTTCACAGCCTTTATATTGAGTGCATTTGGTGTCAGTTTGAGGTTACGGACTGTTTGAAAATAGTGTTGTTGTGTTTTTATTGAAAAATGTGGGAGAATTTGGTCTTCCTGCTCTGTTGACGAGTTTTGGCTTTTATATTTTAAAGCGAATCGGCACAGAAGGTTTTAGAAGATAAAAGACTGAACACGCTGTCTTTGACTGAGCTCCGGTGTTGTCGCAGCAGCGTACGAGACATTTCTAAATTTCCTTTTTACAGGATCAGGCTGCATGCGAGGCAGCAAACATGAGGAAGGGTGTAAAATAATAGCTTTGTGTGGATTTTATAAAGTAAAGCTATAATACAATTTGATTTAAAGTTTTATTTTTGACATCCATCTCTAACAAAAAAAAAAAAAAAGTGAACATTCTGATAAACCATGTATCTTGGCTGCCTTAAACCACACAAACACCCTAAAATCTGTAAAACGCGTAGTTGGTAAAGCAATGCAACTATCTGCAAATCATTTAATCCGAAACTTAATCGATCATCAGAAAGCATAATTAATCCGAGTTGGAAATTCTTCAGCAAAACCAAAGATTCTCAGAGAGAAGAGAAACTGTTGGTCTTGTTAAAGTGTTGCCATAATTGTGTTGTACAACTAAACAAACTACGTTTTTCCTCATTTTAAAGCAGCACGGCTTCACGGTAAAAGCCTTCATGTTCCACACCAGCATGCTGACAAGTCACAGCCAGTAAAATCTTTTATTTTGTTAAAGTAAAACAAACAAAAAAAGACGTGAAACCTTTGATCAGCTTTAATCCGTTCACTTTCAGAACCTCGGTGCTCTCTCTCTCCTTTATTCCTGCTTATCGAGGGGTTCCAAAAAAGCAAAGCAAAGAGGCAGTGACGGTAAAAATGAACCTGAACCGTTAAAAAAAAAAAAAAAAAAAAAAGAAGTCGTAATAAACAGAATTTTAAGCCTACATACAAAAACAAACACAAAGTAGGACTTTATGGTGAAAATACTTGACATTTTGAAAGTGTTTGATGGTTTTAGAAAGGGGAGAGCCTAAAAGTGCATTTGAGCAAAATAAATAAAATAAACATTTAATTGGTTTCCTTTCTCAGCGGAGAGGGAAGCTGCAGCTGATTAGCTCGAGTTTATGGTAATATGATCGTCTCAGAAGCAGAGAGGGAGAAATCAGCAGCAGTACGATTAGTTTATGTTCAACATTTGGCTCGGGACTGGCAGAGCTTTTTCTGAAGGCATCAAGAACTCTGGAGAGCATCAGCAGATGAGAAAGAAAAGTCGAAAGACGTGAGGTCAAATCATCTTCGAATGAAAAGGACGTAAACCAGTTGAGCCACAAAGTCGTATTTCCTTGTATTTTTCTGTTATTGCCATGAAAAGCAGCTGAGCATGCATTTGTGCCTGAAGGTGCATGCACATGTCTGTTAGCACAATATCTCATGAACTATTGAATGGATTTGAATGAAATTCACAGAAAGTAATCACTAGATGTACCTCTACAACTGCTTAACGTTTGGAGTTAATTCACTTCAAGATGGACGCTACAGCTAATTAACCTTAGCAAACACAAACTTGAGAATAACTCAGTCAGTTTTACAGATATTTATTTAGAATTTGGTGTGATAAAAGCTGGAAGTCACCTCTATCACACAGTCGGAGCGCTAACAGATCATGTTATGTTATCTTTCTCACAGCTGGAAATATGCCTTTCTTTCAGGTATGCTAGCTGCCTTGGCCAATTTAGTTTTTATAGGAGCTACAAATCATTTAGACGGAAAGACTAATGTGTTGTCTTGCACAATTGTGAGAATGTTTTTTTACAAATTTTTTTTTTGACACCCCTAAAAAAATTGTGAGCTGGATTAAAAGATAAGATTTCCTGTCTTAAAATTAACAGTTTAAACTTAGGCTGTAATATCAAAAGTATTTTTAATGTTTTTTTCCCCAGCAAAATACTTGTATAAATATATTCCCATAATGCTAGAATAAATTTCTGAGGCCGAGCTGACAAAGGATTCCTGTTTGTTTGAGCCTTATTTATTTATTATATTTATATTTTCTTATCTGAAAACTTACATTGGGTTCTTTTGTTTGCTACTCAGACACTTAGAAATTATATTTCTTAATTTTTCCTCTATTTTTTTTTCTTGTTTGATTGTTCTTAATGTCGATAATTTTAACCACAGACTTTTCTTTATTCCAAGAAAATGGAATTATTTATTTATTTTATTTACATCCTGACTCTGTAGCGTTATACAGTCCTCACATACAAAAGCAGCTCACAGTGTTAAACTATATGAATTAGTGTTATGGATACAATTCGTCCTTTTTTTCCCCCTCAGTAAAGTCAGGGATCATCAAGTATGTTTGTCTGCGTTTAGCTCATCCATGATCCAAACAGAACACAGCATTTGGACACATTTTGTTTGTTCAGTGTTTATGATCATCTAATAAAATCATGACAACTTTTCAGCTTTGGCAGTAAACAACCAGCTTCCTTCTGCTACGAAATGACATGTTTTTTTTTATTTTTTATTTGTTTGTTTTGGGTGACAAAATGCCTAAAAGAAACATATTTATTTAGACTCCCACTGTCTAAATAAATCAAAACCCTAAACATATTATAAAGTGTTGCATGTAAAGAAATATATAGATGTGTTTTTTGGATATGTCACTAGTTGTGTGCGTGTTGAGTTGACTTATGGGTTTAATCTCTTAGAAAATATGGATTGTGGGCTTGTGGAGTGATTTATTCACCTGGACTGGAATGAAGCAGATTAATCTTCTCCCAGGAGTTGTTTTGGGTTGTAACATTATCTGATTCTGCCTGTAAAAAAATAAATTCTCCCTCAACACAAACATATTTTCAGCACCGTTTTCTCCAGCATGGTGCATGTATAAAGTCCAGTTATTACAGAGAGGACAATCCTGACTTGGTTTCCTTTCACATTCTGTAATTCTACAGGACAGATTTCCCTCACATCACCAATGACAGAAACATTAAAGTGACAGTTCAGCTCTTCTGAAGCGGGGTTCTCTGGAAACATTATTGTTGCATCTGTTAGCTCTTTGAATGACAGTTTCATTCTGATAGCATTGATTAGTTAATTATGCAAAAGTGTTTTTTTTTCTTCTAAATAAATCTTTACATTTCCACATTATACTTTTTTCTTTCCTTTATTTTAATTTTATATAGAATTATTTGATTGTTTGCAAGTGCAAAAAACAGCTGCAGCAACTGGCTATAGCACTTAAGCTGCAGCCTGCAGGAATATTGCAATGTTTTTGTTGGACCACCTTCCAAAACCAAAGTTACAAAGTGCTTCACATCAATTGAAACACAATAAAAAAGGATAGAAACAAATGATTGTAAAATAAGCATAAACTTAAGGAACGAGAGAAACGGAAGCACTAAAACAATGCAACAGCCTTAATCTAATGTAAAAATCAGAGCTAAAACTGAAGTGTTGGCTACAAAATCATTTTGAAAAGAGGTAGGCTTTTAGTTGTGATGTAGTTCTGTCAGAGAGCTCACCATCCTGACTTCTAGAGGAAGACTGGTTCATAGTCTGGGACCCTGGAGATCCGGATCAGAAGACCTCAGGGAATTAGAAGGACAGTATGGAGTTGAGAGTTCACTGATGTAAGCAGGATTGTGCAATGCTTTGTAAACCAAAAGAAGACGTTTCAATAGAATCCTGAATTTTTCAGGAAACCCGTGTGGAGAGTTGAGCATATATTGATACGAGAGTGAAAAGAGTTCTTGAGTTTTGGACTAGCTGTAAACAAGAAAGGGCGTCTTAGTTTAAACAGGGATAGAGGGACTTACATTTGTGTAGATGGAACGCATTGTTTCTCATTTGGATATCTTGGTCGACTCGCATCTCTCGTTTAAGCTCCACGTGGAAAAAAGTTAAACTAGGTTTCTTTTTCAGAAATGGATCCTGTCTAACTCTGAATGCTAGGAAACGCCTTGTAACTGTGACATTCCTTCCCTCCATTAACTACGGTGATATTATTTACATGAACGCTCCTACAAGCACTCTGCAGATGTTGGATGTTGTCTATCATACCATACCATACCATACCATACCATACCATACCAATTTATTTATAGAGCACTTAAAAACAGCAACAAGGCCAACCAAAGTGCTGTACAAATGAAAACAAACATGCACAGCGGACAGAAAAACATAAAATAAATATACAGATACAAATAGCAGCAGAAGCTAACTAAAATGGCCAACAGTGTAGAGTACAGACCGGACCAAAACAAATCACACCGTGTTAAAGGCAAGAGAATAAAAGTGGGTCTTCAAGTGAGACTTAAAGACTGAGAGTGTGGGAGCCTGCCGGACACTCAGTGGCAACTCATTCCACAGTCGTGGACCTGCAACAGAGAAAGCCCTGTCACCTCTGAGCTCATGGTGCACTAAGATTCATAACTGGCTGTAACTACTGTACCCACCATTGCGTCCTGTATTCTCTGGTTAACTGGACATCATTAACTTCATGCAGACTCTCTCACTGGTACATTTTCATCTTTAAATCACTTCTTGGTCTGTTGCCTTCATACATCTCCTCCTACATGTCACTGCGTGAGTGCAGCTACAGCGTGCGCTCTCAGGACATTATTGCATGCAGTGTTCCCTCGGTGAGGACTGAACTAGGTAAAAGGGCCGTCTCGTACTCCGCTCCTGTTTCCTGGAATATCTTGTAAAAAGATCTGACGCTCTCGACCTTGACCTCTCTATGTGGCTTCAAACATTTGCTAAGTTCCTGGCACCAATGCAGACATGTTCCTGTTTTTAGTTTTCTACACCGCCTTACACGCTAGCTGTTTTTTTCTTGTTGCATCTTCTTTTAAATGCCATTTTATTTTCACTTGTTATTCTCAATTGTGCGCATCCTTTATCATAGTCTATTGTTGTCTTTGTTGTCCACTGTTGTCATCACTTTTTGTTTAAATATCCAGGTCTCTCTTGTAAATGAGTCCCTGAGGCTCAATGGGATTAACCTGTATAAATAAAGGTTGAATGAAAAATTGTAGAAAAGAAAACGGAGGGCGTATTTTATTTTATCTATAGTTTTAAAGTGGAAGTCACTTCACTGAACTACTGACTGTTAAGTTGATGGCAGTTTAAAGGATTATAAAATAACATAAACGCTAAAAATATCTGAGATTGCATTCATTTTGAAATAGAAGCGATCTTCTTTAATCTTGGTCCCACAGGAACTAGTCATTAGCTCATCAGTCCGGTCAGAATTAAAATATCAACAGGTAAGATATTAATTGTTCATAACCTTTCCACAGAACTCAAAAGATCTGAATGATTCCTTTAAGTTTCCACCTTTTATAATCGCTAGATGACAACTTGACGAGATATTCTCATTGACTGCTTAAACACTTTCTTTTTTAAGTGCTGTTATCCTTTAATGGAAAATAAAATAACTTTAATTAAATGTGTTTATCATCATGATGAAAAGTCAATGGCCTAACATATTTAGCTTTATTCACTGCACCTTTAGCTGCACGAGCTGTGACTTGAACTCTTATTTCTAAGACATTAATGTGGATTGTGGCGAAGCTTTTCACTCATTTCTTCTGTTGCCCTCACAACAGCGAGCCCAGCTGTACGCTTGCTGTTTTGTCTCAACCCTCATCTTCTCTGCACAGAAAAAACAAAGTTTTCTAAGCAGCAGCGAGTACACAGACAAGATTAATGACTACCATGTGAACGTGGTGATACACTTAGCTGTAAAAGAGACAAATGTATTTCTCAGAAGTCGGTAAAGCCCAAAACAAAGGAGAGAGGTGAGAAAATACATTTTTCAGGTGAGCAAAAACATGACTCCAGTTACGATGCCCGTCTCTGACTGAGGTAAAATGCACATCCTGAAGATAAACTATGACTAATCATGATTATTAATGGTGGCGTTTGTTGTTTAAGTGGTGCAATTCTTCAGGCGGTGTATAAAGTTTGAATGTTCCCCTTAATCGAAAAACTTTTCAGAGCGCTGATTTGCTGTTGGGAATGATTGATAGGCGAGCACACAACCTTACCAGTTAAAATAAACAAAGAAATGAAGAAGAAGGTGAAATATAAAGCTTTTATGGCCATGGAATAAATGGTTTGAAGTGTTTTGAAAATATTTGAAAGATGCCTGATAGGCAGATGACGTCGGAATCAGTGATGGATTATCTGCGTGTCAGACTGACGGCTGTGAAACATTCCAGCTCTTCTTATGATGTGCGTAAATCCCACGTGTGCTTTCTGCTTCACATTACTCCCATCTTTTTAAGTTATAGGCATCTTTTCCCCAACCTTCTGCTGCCGTTCTTAAAACGAAGCTGCTGTCAAGTTCCAGCTTTGCACTTACCTGTCTTCTCTTTCAGGAACTCCAAAAAGGAGCTAAACGACATCCGGTTTGAGTTCACCCCGGGCCGAGGTAAGCTGTTCCCTTTGTGCTAACATCTTCTGACTCCATCAGTCCTTGTATGTAATGGGTAATGTCAGTGTGCTCTGGCAGCGTCCAAGTCTGTTTGTAACACAATTTTCTTTAGGAGGAATATCACAGGTTCAATCTTTCTGTTATTCTCCCACAAGATACTGCTGATGGCGTCTCCCAGGAGCTCTTCTCAGCTGGGCTGGTCAACGGACTTGATGTTGCTATTGGTAATGTTACACCTCTTTATTTTCACAATAGGTCAGCCTATTTATATGGAACACCCAAATGCTCAAAATTAAATAAATACAACATTACAGAATGAGAAAAAAAAATTGTATTCTTTTATTTCATAATTGTGTGTTTCATGATAGCTTATTTATTTCATAATGACTGTTTTCAGCAGAATGACTTCAGCTGTCGATCATCGTCAGTGGGTTGGATCTGCACGCCCACTGGCTGAGCCTTCACATCTGCTGTTATTGCTAGTATCACTCAGCCCCCTGTGAATAGCAAGCGGCCATCAGGGTGCTAATGATCTGTTGTTAGGCTGATGGTCCTCCTTGATCATGTGAACAGCTAGTTTTGAATGTCAACAACAAATTGGTTGATCCACTAGGACATATGTGTCAAACTCAAGGCCCGGGGCCAAATGTGGCCCTCGTTGACATCTTATCTGGCCCCCAAGATGATATGTGGAATGTAAAATACTTCTATCTCTTGCATTTTTTCAGGAATCTTTCATTATGATGTCTAAAGCGCAACAGAGAACATCAAATGAGACCAATCAAACTCTTGCTCAGGAACCTGTGATCAAGAAAAGATGTCGAGTTATCTGATTTGAGTTAATGTAGTTTCTGAAATTGGCCCTTAGTTTGACAAAGGTTTTGATTTTGGCTCGATTTTGTAAGTTACTTTGACACTTCTGCACTAGGAGAAGGTGCTATTTATAAGGCCGAGCTGAATACAGCTCCTCAGACTGAAGGTCTTTCGGACTCGCTGTTTTAGTTCTTTGAATTGAACAAGATTAACACGTAAAAACGTAACGTAAAATTTCATAATGCTTTATTTATTTATTTATTTAATTTTGAGCATTTTGATGTTCCATATATTTACAATAAAACACAATTATTTGCAAAGACGGATAGATTTTACAAGTAAAGTCCAAAGCATCTGTACAGATTACAGAGATTATACAACACTAGCCTCTTCAGAAATGTTATTTTTATGTAGTTTGAACTTGTTTGAAATCATCTGAACACATTCTTCTTTGCTGCAGTTGCTGCTAACCTGCAAAAGATTGTGGATGACCCAATTACCTACAAAGTATTGACCTTTAAGCTGGTGAGTTTCCAGATGATTGACGGTTGACGGCAGCTCACTTAGGTTTTTGTCGTGCCCGACTGAGTCCAGCCGGTAACAGCCTGTTGATGCATATGGTGTGGTGAGAAATGTAGCAGCAGGAGTTAATAAAAATGCCCCAAACAAAACAAATAGCTTCAATATGAAAGGGCTTCTGTTGCCAGGGGTTTTCTGTTTGTAACACAAAGAAAAAAATAATCGAAATAAAGGAGAGCTGACTGCAATTTAATCTAGTCTTAACTATTTTTGCTGCATCCGTTCTGAATTAGATTCTCAACATTAAGTGGGCTTTGACGGTTTAGGATTAAAAAAACTTCAAGCATGCAAGTTGTTCTAAAAGAAAAGAAGGATAAAATGAAGCCATTGCTTTTGAATTGCTAACTCAAATTTAAGTCCCTTATCAATTAGAAATTTTGTAGAAATGTATGATAAAAAGCAATTCATGTCAGAAAACTCACACAAACTCAAAATAGACTCTGTTCTGAAGGAATACATGACCTGCTGGATATTTTAACAGCTATGCAAAGAATTTGCATAACCGATACTCAAACATGCTGGATAATTATCTTAAATGGACACATGACTGAATAGAATATCAAAGTTCATGTTCAATAATCCAGGTAAAAAAAACAACAAAGTTCAGTCAGGTCACCTGGACGGTTTCTTTCTTTTCTTTTCCTTGAGCCGTTTCGTCCTTCATCCAAAGGAATTCATCAGTCCGAGGAGCCACAACAAACTCAGTCCCACAATCAACTGGTTGGTCCACTATGGGAGTTTGCTGTGGCTCCTCAGACTGAAGAAGTCCTTTGGATGAAGGACGAAACGTCTCAACAAAAAAGAAACTGTCCACATGTCTTGACTGAACTTTGTTGGACCTAATAGAACAGTTTGGTTTCATTGTTTATTTGGTTTCTATTCACCCAGTTTTTAGACTTATGTTTAAACTAATATTTTTTTAAACATTGAAGAGATGGCAAGGTTTTAGCATTACAATAAATATAAAAAACGACATATGATTTGAACCCCATATTTTAAAAACTGGCATGGATAAAATATTGATTCAATTCTTATAATGTGCATCCAGTTCTCAGGTTCATATTTATTGTTTCTCCAGTCATAAAAACGCCCCAGAGGCAGCAAAAGCTTTGATATAAATTACTACCTTTTGTTGCATCAAGAGTCCCATTGTTAAATCAGGTCATGTCATTTAATCCAGTTCAGTATTGATTTTTTTTTTTTTTCTGATCACGTTGAGCTCAGGTAATAAATCTGCACAGTAAACACACGACCTGCACAGCTTAGCACAAGGAGAAAACAGGTTAACAGCTTTGTGTTTTGTGGCTTCTTTAAAAAGTTTGCATGGTGTCCAATAAAGTAGCCGTCCTTGGGTTTTTATCTTTATGATGTACTGGAGGTCAAACACAATTTTCAGGTAATACCAGAAATATTTTACTTCCTGCTGCTCCTTGTTAAATTTTTTATGAACTCGGCAGGTTGTTTATGTGTTTGCGCTTTCCACAGCTCATGTGTGAAGCACCGGTTTTGCACAGCACGACTAACTAAATGTTGCGAAGACAATAAAAAAGTTACTTTGGGCTGTTTGATTTGTTGGAATGTAAAAACGTGGATTAAAACGAGGAAATTCTGCTAGATCTGAATGTAAAACAGCTAGTTGTCAGTTCACCGTGTCTGTGGGGATTCAGAGTGACCGCCGACTTAACCATGTCATGTCGATATTAGAGCCTTGATTTTAAAGCTGAATCACCGAGGACGGCGCTAAATCCACACTGAAGCTCAGCTCTGCCATTGTAAGTGGAGAGTTACGAGACCAGTGCCATAAAACCCTGGAAGAGAGAATAATTATCCTCACAAGGGGGACAGTTCATAACACTTTATGTATACAATTTATGGAGTGGGATGGCACATTGGCAGCTTTACGATTAAAGTGAAGAAGAGATCACTGTGAGTTCACTGGAACTGACTTTTTTGATTTCACTGACCCCTCGTTGATTGGACACAGCTTTCAGACGTGTATTTCCCAGATAACCTCTGAACGGATGGAGCCCCATAACCCATTTATTTAAAAAAAATCATTCAAGACACCTGAATAAATACTGGGCCTGGACAGGTCTGAATCTTGATGATTTGAGGCACTGGAAGGAGCGTTCACCCAATAAGAGTTTTTAGATGATGTTTGATGTAAACACCATTTTTTTTTAAATTCTAGGTCAATATGTATTTTTCATTTAGCAGAATATGAAAATAGTTGCTTAACCTAAAAACATTTTAAAACCCCTAAAACATCTCATACAGTTAGAAATATATATAAAAAAACACTTTCTTGCTTAAAACATGCCACAGTGAGCTGGTTGGTAATTGATAAAGTGTGCACTAGAATAACCTTCGTTCCATTAAACTTGGTGGCCAATTAATGGTTTTTTCTCCAATTAGAAGTAAAATAAACATAATGTCTTGTCAGACGGGGCTGTTTAGGTTACACCCATTAATCATTGGGGACTGCCATGCAAATGCATGGCAGGCACCTATTTTATTCTACACCTCGGAAGAGTGTCTACATTTCTATCTCCGTTAATGTGCCCCGAACCACAATATCTACCCCCACAAAAGTTATATCAAAATGACTGGCTCGGCCCCGTGATGTGTGCTATTACTTTTATTGGCATTTCGAGTTACAATGGCGACGTATATTGCGAACAAAGACGCAATATTTCACCAACTCCAGGAACTAGTTGGTGACTGCCCACTTATTATTCTACACCTGGAAAGTGTTTCTTTTTCAACTTTAATACGGCCCGAAACGCAACGTGGACCCCCACAAAAGTTATATCAAAACGACCGGCCCGGCTCCGGGAAGTGTGCCATTACTTTTATTGGCATTTGCAGTTATCATGGCGACATATTTTGCTAACAAAGATGCCAAATTTACCATAGGAAATGAATAGGAGAAAACTAGTCACAGAAACTGAGTAACATATGGAGCCATTTTGGTTCAACGTGCAAGGAAGGCAGTGCATTATGCAATGCATGGAAGGCACCTATTATTACCTATTATCACCTATTATTATTATTATTAATTAGTAATGTTAATAATTATCTGTTTTAATATCAATAACTATTAATATTAATAAGTAATATTTAAAATTAATACTAATTATTGGTGTGGATATTATCAATATTTATTATTAATTATTAACATTTTATAAATTAACTATATATAATTAATACTATTAATAATGAGTATTATTGTTAATATTAATAATCATTCATATTAATATTTATTATTAATAATAATTTAATTATAAATAGGCAGTCCCCATCGAAGTTTCTCCAGGAACTTTCTAGTTTTATTTAAAGCTCTGATCCTGTTCCAAGAGTAAATCAGTCAAATATTTAAAGAGAAACAACAAATTCACCAACAGTTGTAAAAGTCACTTGTTGCTACTGTCAGATTTGATAATAATGTGGGCCATACGGTGCAAACGTTTGAATTATTTTCGTTTTCTTATTTTTCTTCCAATGAGCAAAACTTTGTAATTTTACGAAGTAGGTCAATAGTTCTCAAACCTTTCCGAAGGTCTTTCAAAATGATTCATTAGACTTCGGCTGCTTTTCACTAATCGTTTGGCTACTTGTACCTGAACATGACTGCGTGCTGTGCAAAAAGGTTTCAGGACAACAAATGAATAAAAATCTAAAGCTAAAACAATTAAGGTTATCTAAAATTCTTTAAGAAATAAACCAAATGATTCAAATTATGATATGTTAATTATTTTCTAAGTTATCTGTTGTTAACACAATACTGCTTCGATATTTGGGTTTAGGAGCCTTTTTTATGCCTGAATGATGTACAGTATAGGTCAGAGCTTTTCAAACAAACAAAATAAAATAAATTCCCATTAAATTGGTCTGGTACTGGACTGAAAATGAGCGAAAAGAAAAAAAAACTTTTAAGATGTTTAAATCACCTGGAGGAGTATTGATCAAATCACCTAAAGAATCACAAAAAAGTTATATCACGTCATCTGGGCAGTTTCTTTTTGGAAGAAACGTTTCGTCTTTCATCCGAAAGACTTCATCAGTCTGAGTTCTGCCAACAAGCTCTGTGATATTAAATAGCACCGTGTTTCAAACCAGTCTGCTGTGGAATTACCAGAAACTGGCTTTACACATGCAAAATGGAGGACCATCAGTCTAAAACATTCGATCATCAGTGCAAAACAATTTTTAGTTTTTTAAAAATTTATTTATTAATTTAGTCATTCATTTAAAAGAAACAAAAATAAAGCAAATTCATCAAAAAGAAAAAAAAAAAACATTGAATGAAAAGGGTGTAGAAAGAAGAAGAAAATTCTTTATATCTGCCCCTTTTAAAAAATATATCATTACTATACAATATATATAAAGCTTTGACATTCAAAAACTCTTTGACTTTATACAGTAATGCAATTGATTTTGCTATTTTTATTAAGTATTTTACATGAGGTTTCCATGTCAGCTTCTCATCAATAACGACACCACAAAAAAAAATCAAATGTTATAGGCGAAATGGCCGTAAATTGCAATGTTTTTATTTTTTGTGATTTATTTACCTGGATGATTGAGCGTACTTACTCTTTTTTTGTCACCTAAAGAATATTTAGCTTTTTGGACGTGAAACATCAAACTTTAGGAGTGATTTAAAATGTATGCACCTTTTTATAAAATAGAAATAACAGCATGCATGAATTATCATTTATACGTAGCATTAATAGAAACAAGAGCCTCAAAAGAAACTACAGTAAAATAACTATTTACTCAAATTGTAGACACATTTGAACATTTTCCACCCAGATTGCTTCATGGTGCCGGTAAAAAGAACGGACTGATTCTTTCTTTGTGCAGGCTTCCAGCTGTGATGACACGGAGACTCCAGATGAGGTGAAGTTGATCGGCTTTGCACAGCTCAGTGTTTGCTGATGCTTCATGCATGAAGCAGGTGAGACAGATGAGACAGGTCAGGGCAGACAGACCGAGGAACACGCCACATCCACCTCCTGCAATATCTGCCTCCAACACCTTCCCCTGAAAGCACCTCCTCCTTCCCCCACTCCTTTTTACCTTCCCCGAGGCCGAACTCTGCTGACTACACCTCCTTAGCGTCGACTTTTCGTCTCGCTGTCCCTCGACCTTTTACCTTAACATTCCAGCGTGCAGACCAGGATCAGGACACAGCCCAGGAACCAAAAGATGTACTCAGGTGGTGAAGGGAGGGGATTAACATGTAGCTTTGAATGTTTGGTTTATTTATTTTGTTTAACATCACATTACTGCTGCGTTCAGCAGAGTTCTCATTATTTATTAAAATGAGAAGACGTATTTATGTTCTGGTTTTTTTTTTCCCCCTCTCACTCCGTTTTGTTGCCACTATGAAAACAAATGTACTTTTGACTCGCATCTCACAAACCCACTCATCCGTGATGTTTCCCTGGGGTCTGTCAGAATGTAAGTTTTAGTTAACTTGTGAGGAGAAGCACATTTTTTAAAATATAAACCATAATGAATGTCTTAAAAGACTATAAATTGTTTTGTGTCATGTCCCTGTTTGACATGAAGAACTGAAGCATTTGGTTGAGAAATAAACGAGACCTGAATGCTACTGTGTATAATTTGCTGCTCTCGACAGTATTAACGCTTCACAAATGCTAGAGGTGCCTTGTTCATTTTTCTGTGCCTAAAGAACGTTGTCGGTGAGCGACACCACACTGAGGGAAGAACCCGCTCATCACCATTTCACAAATGTATTCCTGCAGCAACGATACACTTCACGTGAACTATCTTAATGAGGTGAGCTGAAATGCACTTTTGGGCTGAGTGTGTGCAGATGCTTGGCCCCCGGAGACGAGTTCTAATTTATGTGCTTTTGGCGTCAAAGAAATGAAACGCATTAGAACCCGCAGTCTCAAAATTCTGTCCTGGTTGATGTGCAATCAGATGCTCAACGTACCCACAGCTGTTTCATTTTTGTTCCTGGAAAGATGTTCTGCGACAACAACACCGCTACAGATGGAACCAAACAGCAACTAAGTGTAGTGAACCATTTGTTTGTCCAAACGAAGTCCAGTATAACATTAAATTATTTGGCACCACTTTACAATAAGGCTCCCCTTATAGATGGATAATAGTTATAGATACGTTAATTCCTTTATAACCTCTTTAATATAATTAATAACTGCTTATTAAGCATTAATTAAGGGCAAGAAAGCGCCCAAACTGACCAGTTTCTTGCCAAATAGTGAGCCAAATCTGTTCACCTATATGTTTCATATAGAGTTGTTATATTAAACATGTCAGACTAAGTTACTACCTTGTAAGCACAATAAGCATTTGTAAACCTATTTTTTTTTAGGATATTAGTTGTAGATGCAGTGATAAAGTACAATATTATATGCTAAAGAAATAGGTTTACAAATGCTTGTTGTGCTTACAAGGTAGTAACTTAAGTCTGAAATATTTAATATAACAACTCTAGATGAAACATATAGGTGAACAGATTTGGCTCATGATCATTTATCAAATTGATTACTGCAACTCTCCTATTTGGTCTGCCGCAAAAATTACACCGTAAGCTTCAAATGGTTCAAAATTCAGCTGCCCGCATGGTTACCAAAACCCCCTCATTTCACCACATCACCCCAGTTTTACAGCAACTTGACTGGCTTCCAGTCACTTTCAGAATTCAATTTAAAATCCTGCTGTACACATTCAAGGCCATCCATGACCCCGCCCCTCCCTATCTGTCCGATCTGCACATTATCAGCCATTCACGCTCCCTTCGTTCTTCCTCTTCCATCCACCTCAACGTGTCTCTCGTCCGCCTCAGCACCACGGGACACGGAGCCTTTTCTCACTCTGCTCCCCACCTCTGGAACGCTCTTCCCCTGGACATCCGTAATATCGACTCCCTTCAGACCTTCAAATCACAACTCAAAACTCATCTGTTCAAGTTAGCCTTCTCACTTTCATTTTTTTTGTTGTTGTTATTTTCTTCTTGGTTTAGTGTTTTTAAAGCCATTTTGTATTGTTTTATTTTGTGTTTTTAATGTGAAGTGTCATTGGGTGTCTTGAAAGGCGCTAACAAATAAAATGCATTATTATTATTATTATCACTATTTGGCAAGAAACTGGTCAGTTTTGTCTCTTTCTCGTCCTTAATGCTTAATAAGCAGTTATTAGTGATTTATAAAGTGTTTATAGAGGAAGTACTAATTTATCTATAAACTATTTATTAGCCATCTAGAAGGGGAGCCTTATTGTAAAGTGGTACCAAATATTTTATGTACTGAGGTGGTAAATATTAACGTCTTTAAAATGTTTTATTTCCCAAATGCATTTGTTTTTATGTACATGATGTGCATTTTGTCACCATATTACCCCCTCTCCATCTCTGTAATCAGCTAATGTCAATTTTTTTGACGAGGAGCAGCAAATAAATAAATTATTTAAAATAAATGTGTGAAATATATTTTTTATCACAAACATATTGCTGTGGCCACATTAGGCATGAACATAACCACGTTTTATTATTATTTTTGGATGAATGATCTCAATCAATACTCAATTTTGAACGTGCACTTTATTATTTTGGATCATAGCAAGTGTTTTGATTTGGCACATTTTGGCAACATTTAGCATGCATGGAGCTAAAAAAAATAAAAAGTCCATGCATATGCCCTGAGACGACTTCTGTTGTGACTTGGTGCTATATAAAGAAACTGAATTGAATTCAAATTGCTTATGCATATTTAAAGTGTCATAAGTAAAATGTTTTATTATTTATAAGTGTAATGCTTAAAAAAATCCCCATTTTCACTTTATGCATCTTCATAGCTCATGTTTAACTTTTTAAAATGTTTATTTTGCTACAAAAAAATTCTCAGTTTACTTGATCTGCTTACTGCATCCCTAATGACTATGAAGAGGACTATACTAGCTGTCATTTGTTTTGTTTTAGCTGTTGTAGCTGTATGTTTTTCCTACATTTAGCATGTAGTTGGCAGGGTGCAAAAATAAGTAGACCAAGAACTTGTGTTATATTTAAAATAGGCAATGGGAAAAACAAAATAGCTTTCTGCCAAATATTAGATAAGTGTTAGGTAAATGTTCCTAGTTTAAGGATACTCGGTGCAAACTATGAAATCAAACATGAACAAATTATACTGAATGGTGTAGTGTGAGGGAGTTTACTCTAATAGCTTTCCACATTAATGGATGTGCAGTTCTGAAATTCAACGCTAAATTCAATTAAATTCAACGCAGTCTGCTGTCTGTGCTACCCTACCTTTGATAAATTATGTTACGAATTGAATTTTTATGTATATGGATGTATTTGTTCAGTGCCCTGAGATAACTTCTGTTGTGACTTGGCGCTATATAAATAAACTGAATTGAATTGAATTGAAATGTGGGAATGCACTCAATGCAAACAAAGCACTCGACTGAATCTGTCAGCTTATTTGCATACTTTGATCAACAATTAGAGCATAAATATATACCAATACGTCACAATTGTTGGATTTCTCAACATGGAACAGCTTTTCTACAGATATTGCCTTTGTTGACTTATTTCCAGTCACTTTGGCAACTTTTCACTTGGATTCCTACTAAACTGTTTTTATGATGCATTTTCAAATGTAACTGTGATTACATTTGCACAACATTGTTGTTAATGACTTGCAATGGTTATTATTATTTGTAATGTAATCAGAAAGTATAAATGTCTCAATCATGTCTCAGTTTGATTGCAATTTATTCTCTTTTTTGCTTTAATTCTTCACACTCAATTGTAACAGGTGGTTAAAACCCTCTCAAAGTTGTCTCTCCTTTATTGGACTTTCAGACTTGCTGATTGAGAAAGGTTGCTGTGACTATTTGAGCTGAGATTTCAAATTTTTAGCTTTTAAAGGGATCATCTGGATATTCTGAAGGGGTGTTTCATGGACTGACTTCTGGACATGGGCACCAGATGCCCCCTGCTACACAGAAAAGAGAAACCGGTATTGAAACAGGATGGATGAATGTTTTTGGACATGTTAAATAATATCTTACCTGCAGTAGGAATCAGTGTTATCAGTTTGGAATATCAGCCAAACGTTCTGTCAGGGGAGATGAGCTAATGGCTAGTTCAAGCCAGGTCAGTTCCAAAGCAAACTTCTGCCATCATTAAACAACTTCAATCTTGTTCATGCAGATGACATTTTACGAATTTTTACTTTTACGGAGCCATCACTTTTGTATTGGGTAGTTTTTAGACCGGCAGCGGTGGCACAGTTGGTAGAGCTGTCGCTTCTTAATGAGAAAGTTGCTGGATCAAATCCCACCCAGGAACCTTTCTGGGTGGAGTTTCTATGCTCTCTTTGAACATGAGTGGGTTTTCTCCAATTATTCTGGTTTCCTTCCACAGACCAAAAAACATGCATGTTAGGATAATTAGTAACTTTAAAAACAAACCCGCGACTTCTCTGCAGAGCAAAGAAAGGGAGGAAACAAGTGAAAGCAGCAATTTTCATTTTAATTATTCAAGTATTTGCCTTTTTTTAATATAAAAACATACAATATATAACAACAACCCAGTGTGGGATAGATGCTTTCACAGTAAATGTCACATTAGTTTATGAGACTAAAATATTTCAGGGGAAACAAAAAGAGAAAAGTATATTTGGCCAGCAAAGCCACATTTTCTTAGAAACAACCAAACTGTCCATGTTATTCATTCAGTGAGTGCACTTCTGTAGCCAATGATATCCCAGATTTTAATGGCAATACATCCAGGCTGTAATGATCTCAGCTAGACATAGACAGAAACTTGATTCCGTTTTTTCTTGCTGCTTGGAGGAGTTGATGAGCTGAAACAGCTGCTGATTTACAACGCACACGAGCAGCAGCTACAATAATGAGAGGCTGGTAGCTGAGACGCATAATTACCTCAGGCATAAAAATGTCAAAGTGGGAAAACAAGGAAATGCATCTAAAATCCAAAACATACACACGGCTTGTTTGAGAGAGAAAAAGGCAATGTGATGATGGCTTCATGTAAACAAAACAAAATCAGGCAAATTCATTTTTAAAAAGCAGCAAGTCGTCTAAATTCTAATTTAGAAAATTCTCAGATTATAGTCGACCATAAATTCAACCTACGGTACTTGGTATTGGATATTAAAACTAAACTGACCTGACGTTTATATTTAGTCTCATTAAAAAAGATGAAGAAAGAAGTGCAAGTGCACACGTCAGAGAAATGGTAATCAGGGTTAGATTTTAGTTTGCTTCGTTCTGACACTCTTTTACACTTTACGTTTAATAATATTCTGTAAAAATGTCTAATTATTCAGTGCTTCATTGATTTTCTTACATTCTTATCTTTTAACTCTAAGAGGGTCTAGATTCTGGGTCACCAGCTGTGAATCTAATAGACTCTTCCTCAAGGGCACTTGTATCAAACGGAGAAATGGTTTGTAAGTGTCAGGGCTTTCCATGGACGGGCAGTTTTGTTTATTGGAAGTGTGGTTATATGGAGTATAATACAAGTAGTCATTGTTTTACCTGCAGCAGACCACTGTCTGATCAGTTTTGAAGAATCAGGGAGACGTTCACACGGAGGAGTCAAGCAAACGGTTTCTTCAAACAAGGCTCGTTCAGGAGAACATTTCTACCACCTTTCATTCAACCTTTATTTAAACAGATAAGTCACATTGAGCCTCGAACACTCATTTACAAGTGAGACCTGTTTGGACAGACAATAAAAAGTGGTGAAAAATGACACATAGGGTTTGGAGACAAAATAAAAAGTCCTAACGCTCTCTTAATCTTTGGTTGGGGGACGCTTTTTATAATTGGACTGAAAATAACTTCAATTCACCTCAAATCTGAAACACACAAACTCAAACACAGAATCACTTTTGCGTGGAGCAACTGTTCGTAGCAATTTTTCATCGGATCAATGATTGTGTTGCTACACTGTGTCCACAGGGCAGCTAAACATCCTACTGTTCAGCTGTCTGCCAAGAGTTCATCCATATATCCAGGGGTGGAAGTAATGAATTTCAAATACTCACATTACTGTAATTAAGTAGATTTTTTTGGGTATTTGCACTTTTATTTTTATGAGTATTTATTTCAAGTGTGTAATTTTACTCATACTTGAGTACAATTTACACCATTTACCGGTAATCTACTTCGCTGCTTTTAAAATCAGAAGTCGCTTCTGACTACGGCCGCAAATTGAATTAATATTCCAACTGTTCATTTGCATCTTTGTAGCCAATAAGGCTCTCAGATTGAGAACACACCAAATATGACGTAAGCAAAGGACAACTCTGTAGAGTAGAGAGTCATTTATGGACCGAAGATTTAGAGAAAAAGCCAAAATGGAGACAGAAGACAACACTCAACACAGAAAATGACGAGGTAAAGACTGAGGATGAGTGCCCGTGGCCGTACCTGGAGGAATTTTTCATCTACAGAGGGTGAACAGGAGACAACGTCCAGATGCAAACTTTATTTGATCTATACGGTGATAGCAGCTCACAAGACTTCAGCATCCAATCTCAAAAAAACATATTGTGGTATACGAGGTTGTATGATATTGCTTTTTTTATTGTTTGTATGTGTGGGTTATTAGTTTGGCTAAGTATGTAAAGATCTTAGATATTGTCACTGCCATCGGTTTGACTGGTACTGAAATAAGACGGAGCGTCTGAGAAATGTGCTTTGAATGTAGCTGTTATATATACAGTAAATCAAACTGAATGACTTCTATTGATAACACAATAAAATGGTTAAAAAGTAATTAATACTCTGAGTAGTTTTTTTAGAAGAATACCTTTTACTTTTACTTAAGTATTTTTACAACACCAGTACTTTTACTTGTAACTGAGTACAATTTAAGCAGTGTGACAGTACTTGTACTTGAGTACAAATTTTCTGTACTCTTTCCACCTCTGCATATCATTTTCCCCCTGAATAAGATACATTTGTTTTCATAATTACTCAAGTTTACTGACTGTAGTTGTTGTTTCGAGTTTAGAGCAGTTGATCCACAGCAGAACACACTGAACAACATCTGTGCACACATGGCACACATGAGCACACACTTAGCTCAGTGGAAAAAACAACTATAAATAACTCATTTGACAGGACTACAGTGTAAAAACACTAATCATAGTGTTTGCTCCAGGGGCTAGGAAGGTTTTTGTGTTAGTTTAAGATGGCAGGCGTTATTTAATAAATGGACCCTTTGAGTCCTATTAGCTTGAAATACTCTCCATGAGAGTTTCTCCGATGCTCTAAATTGATGCCCCTCAAACTGCTGACAACTAAAGGTAAATAATTGACTACTTAGAAGTACAGTACTCCATACAATCCCATTTCAGTAAAGCCAAAATATCTCTTTCACTACAGATTCTAAATGATTCACTGTCTATATTGGTCAGGCCACAATCAGGCTTACATTTGATCATCTTAATTCTTACAAAAATGCATGCTTTTCAAACTTGGACTGAAAATAACTTCAAGTCACAACTCAGCACTTAAGTATGAGTGATAATATGCACCTTGTAAGCCTCCACGTGGTTTAATAAAAATACACAAACATGTAGTAAAACAGATCTACAAAAGCAATCGTAGTTTACACATTATTCACTGTGGCAATATTTAAAAAGAAGAAGATGGCAAAGTAAAGGCAGTTTTAAAAATACATCAAAGATGTTCAGCGATCCACACATACCCTAACATCGGAGGTGCTTCTTGCTGGACATGTCATTCCAAATGCGATGCATCTCTTCTGGGGAAATCTGGTGGACGGTGATAACCCGCCTGTATCTGCAAAGACTGTAAGCCATTTTCCAATGATTAAAACCACTGTTCTGATAAGGGTGTATGCCCAGCTTACGCAAACACAGTCCCACGTACACATCCTCCAAATGTAACAGTCTTGTGTGTAATGAAGTCTTGTAGATTAGCTCAGCTACGTCTGCTGAGAACACGTAGCCAGTGCCCGAGCAGAAAGGCGGGTATTTGCTTTCAGGATACACGTCTCTGGGCATGTACCACTTGCTGCGCATATCTCTGATGGGACCACCATTTATCACATAGCCAGTAAAATATCTCCTCCTTGGCTTGGTGGTGGGCTTTAGAAGCTTGTAGATAAGATTGTCCATGTTGACGTAAATGTCACTGTCCGTCTTCATGACGTATTGCGCCTTAGGGCAAAATGTTGCCACCCACCGCAGGCCCATCATGGTCTTTAAGGTAAGATTGTGGTACGAATCAATAAAATTCTCCACTACAATATCGTGAAAGATCTGACTCTCCTGCTCCACCATCTGGTTCAACACTGCGTCTGTGTTCCAGCCCAGGAGAAAAATGGTGAGAATGCGAATGTCGCTGAAGGTGTTCTCATCTCCCCAGGTCTCCCGGATGGCCTGGCGCGCGTCGAACTCCTTGTGCGTGGTGCTGATGAGGATTACCAAGAAAGGTGTGGTACTTTCGCACTTCTTGGGCTCGTTGATGACAAATTCAAAGGCGTGCGGGTTGAGTGAGCGGGTGCGAATGTTGGTGAAAGTGATGTTTTTGGGAGGTTTCACAATCCTCCGCCTAGGTACAGCCATGTGGCCGACGTACGTGGACGTTGGGCGAGAAATACTCAAGTACCACAGAGCGCTCGCCCAGCAGACCACCGTCAGCAAGTATAAACATGATACTTTTGAAGGCATTATGCTGCTCTTAGGTGAATTTTGATGAGCTGGATCTTATAAGGTTTTCTTTCCATTAGGGATGTTCCACTCTGTGAGGCAGCATTAAGCTGCTCCAGCATACGGTTTGACATTAATTGTCAATAATGTATTACTTTAGAGAGAGGAATGCTGTTTGCAATTTAATGCAAAGCACTTTAAAACTGCATGAACGTCCAGATTCTTGGTGATCTTCTTGCATCTCTGTTCACATCTGAAAAAAAAAAGGGAGACAGAAAAACAGCACTTCAGTATATATTTAAAAATCCACGGCTTCAAAAAATTTAAATTTTTGCATGAATATTTAATCATTTTTAATTTAAATCCATAAAACTCAGCAGATGATATTTAAATATGTATTAAAGTGCAGGCTTTTGGCAACAACTCAAATAAATGGGAAAATGATGTTCAAATGTCACCTACAATTTACATAATAAATGTTTCCAAGCACTTCTAATTATCCCCACAAATCAATGCAAAGTAAATTTGTGCATTTGAAATGAATCTGGTAGGAGGATGAATAGAAACAAGGCAATGCATTGATGAGTATGTAGAAAAAGAGACCTCTATCAAACACAAGTTTTAATTAAAAGCTGAAATATCCCTATAAATCTATACACAGTTTCTATTTATTTTTCATTTTACTCCTCGTTAAATTTTCTCTTTAAAATATTCAAAAAGTGGACAAAGAATTTATAAATCTTGTTCCCACAGAAGAATTTTGTGACTGCTTGACTGCGTTACAGATCATCTGTCGTAACTTAAGACAACATTTTCATCACTCGACACATGAATCTTGTTTACAAGAGTAAATTAACTTTTAATACGGTTCAGCCACATATACTTTTAAAACGCCTATGTGATCTTTATGTCAGCAACCATCTTGTGTTGTGGATTAGCAAATTTTTAAGAGAAAGACCCCAATGAGTCTGTGTTAATAACACTATCAGGGTCTTGAACACTGGTGTTCCACAGGGTTGCATGTTATCACCTCTTTTAGTCTCTATATACACAAATGAGTTGAAACAAAACAGTAAACATTTCACATTAATTAAGTATGCTGATGATATGTCCCTCCCTAGTTGCTGGTCTGAAAGACACCAATAGCCCCTCCTACTCCCAGCTCATAGATCAGCTCTCTGACTGGTTTGATGTTTTCTGGCCCTTAATGTCAGTAAAACCAAGAAACTTTGTTTGCAATGTAGATGGAGAGCAGTCAGCATCAGACCTGTATTCAGGCCTTCTGTTATAAAAGGGCAGGAAGTAGAGCAGGTGACTGATTTTAAATACCTTGGAACAATAACTGATAACAAGTTGACCTTTTAGTTCAACACTGACTATATTTACAAAAAAGCCAGACAGCGTCTCCACCTTGTGTATAAGCTAAGGAGCTTCAATGCAAGAAAAATTACTTTGCAGTTGGTGTACAGGTGACTGGTTGAAAGTGCTTGAACCTCCTAGCCAGAGACAGGAACAAGTTGTCCCGGGTGGTCAAACGGGTAGCAAAGTCATTGGTCATCAACAAATGACACTTACAGACCTGTACAGTCAGGTTCTGGAAAAAAAGGCAATACAGGTTTACATTGACCCAACTCATCCACTGCAACCATTATTCAGGTTGGTACCATCTGGCAGAAGACTGCTGGTTCCTTTAGCAAAGAAAAAATTGGTACAAAAAAGTCATTTGTTCCCACTGCTGTGAATGTACTTAACAAGGTCCTATTTAAACGCAGCCTTACATGATAAACCATCGTCTGCTGGGTTGTGTCCATATTTTTAATGTGTCATGTATTTTAGAATGTTTTTAATCGGATTAGCAAAGCATTTTAAAGTGTTTAAAATTTTATGAATTTTTTTAAACTTGTGTTGTTTTTTATGAGCCAGATGTCAAAGACAAATCTCCATTTCATTGAACGTTATGGACAATAAAGTTATATTGAATTGAACTGAATTGAAATAAAATCCTTTAAAACACACACACACACACACACACACATATACTATATAAACCTTATGGTGTTGCAAAGAAACACATGACACAAAAGGTTCTTATTCAACATTTCCCCACCCGTTTTTTCCCAGCTTCATCACTATACTGACTAAAACGGATATCTTTCACATCTTGTATGAACTCTGAAACATCAGTAGTTTTGTTTTGTCTGAGAACCTACACTATTCATCTAGATCATGACTCCAAGCCTTTGAAGCTTTTGCTTCTTTTTCTTTTCAGCCAGAGAATTATCACACTATGCACTTCACAGCAGAGTGAATGCACAGCGATAAAATTCTCTGTGTTTATCTTCAAAGCCGGAGAGCAGCAGAAGTCAGTCTGACCAGACAAATGTAGCCATAATGACATTATTTGTCTTTCATTTAGCAATAGACGGTAATTACCTTATTCAAAAAAGGACTCTGTTACACACAAAAAAAAAAAAAACGTCATTAACTACAAAGAGCACAAAACAAATGTATAAAAAAACCCTATATTTTGAATTTAATTTCTCACATGAATTACAGCTGGACCTATTTAATTTTTGCATCCATACAGTGAATGTATCCTCATATTTACATTTTGCTATCAATGACAATTTGGTGCAAATGTTACTTTTCAATTTCTGTAAAGTCCTTTCTCACAAAATTGAAAGAAACAAACATTTTCTCCCATTTATCACTAAAAATAACTTACATAAGTATCAAAATCATAACAAAAATAGAATAGAATCTTTAGAATCTTTATGGTCATTGCAAAAAGTATTGTTAAAAGCAGACTAAAAACAGTGAAACGCAGTTTGGCATCCTCCTTGGCAGCAATACGCCATATTAAGATAGAAAAATAATAGTTTGTTCAACTTGTGTGTGCAAAGTCATACTTCATCATCACAGTTCAGTTATGAGTTCTGACTAGATCCAGGGTGATGGTTTTCACTATAAAAGCTGCACTGCAGTCTGTGCTGGATTCCATACTTTCCTAACAGAGCACTTTGCTTTCAGACTGCAGGTTTACTTGTGGTTCCTAGAGTGAAATGGGAGGCAGAGCTTTCAGTTATCAAGCTCCTCTCTTGTGGAACAAACTTCTAGTTTCTTTCAGTGAATCTGATGCATGGTCTACTTTTAAGATTAGGTTTAAGTCTTTGCTTTTTGATAAATCCTACAGTTAGGGTCAGCTTGGGTTTCCTGAGCTATCCCTTAGTTATGCTGCTATAGGCTTAGACTACCGCAGGGCAAATTGACCACATTTCCTCACTCTGCTGCTGTCTTTACTTGCTCTACTCTGCCTGTTTGTAATTATTTATATCTTAACATGTTTTAAAACCCACTACTATTCACTGGCTTTCAACACTGTATGATCTGTGTTGAACCTGCATGCATCACACTGTGTTAGTCATTATGATATTATCTGCTATTATTTTGTTTCTATATTTTGATTTTACATTATGTTATATGTTCTTGTGTGCTTTGCCTGTTTGTTTCTGTTTGTACAGCACTTTGGTTGGTCCCGTCGCTGTTTAAAGTGCTTTATAAATAAAATGGTATGGTTTTTTGGTCGTTCTTCCTATAGAAAGTACACCTAGACCTGCCATTCTGCGTTTGTTTGTTTCTCCTTCCTGTCCTCTCAAACCCCAGCTGGTTGAAGCAGATGACTGCTCGTCTTGAGCCTGGTTCTGCTGGAGGTTTCTTCCTGTTAAAAGGGAGTTTTTCCTTCCCACTGTTGCCTTTGTGCTTGGTCAGAATGGGTGACTGTGATGAATTGGAGATTCAGCACAATCTGCTGGCTTCCTCAGATAGACATCTTTTACTAAATGTATTTTATGGATGTGAACGTTTTTGTTCAGTGCCCTGAGATGACTTCTGTTGTGACTTGGCGCTATATAAATAAACTGAATTGAATTTAAATTGATTTTATTGTCTGGTATCTCTTCCCAGAGGGGAAGAGGGAATACAGAGTTTAAATGATCAACACTTGCATAATGTTTTTTTAAAACCTTTGGTAATGTCTATAAAATATATAATATGACAACCATATTGGACCAAACCACTGACCATCTACTCAGAATACTATATTCTAACCCCTCAACAAAAGAAACCATGTAGTATTTAAGAGGCTGACTAAGTAGTACATGTTGGTGGGATTGATATCACAATAAATACATAAACATTCTGAAATACAAGGAATACATTTATCTCCACACACACTCACATACAGATGTGGATGAATTTGTTGGTATGCTACATTTCATTGAAGCAATACTTCATTTCTTGAGAAAGGGATTCAGTTAAAAGCGGCTGTCTAATGTATATCTGCATGCCTTTAGTACGTGATAGAGTGAATAATAATGTAAAAAGAAATTATTTTATTTATTACAAAGATATATTAAAATAGCATGAGTAGATTTATTAGTATCTCTAAAAGGACTAATAATATTTGCATCATAGTCATGTTTCAAACTAAGTGTTTGACCTGATTTAGTCACCCAGATGCTTTCAGGCTTTTCATCAGTCATTCAACTTATTAAAAGTGAACAACCAGGCCACTGCGTAGCTTGGTATGGTTGCAGTGGTGTAGTCTACATTTTTGTAGTGAGTATACTGTGCTTTGAAACCAAAGTACACTGGTTAGTACAATGTAATTATTAATTTATTTAGATTTTTAAGCGTATTGAACATTTCCAAATTTCTCTGATTTGAATAAATGTACAACAAACTTTGCACAACAGTTGCCTTTGTATTAAACATGTTATATAATTTATAAAACAGTATCAAAGCAAAACATGTTCAAGCATTAAGTAGTAAATACAGAATTATACAATAATTCGCTGGATAAGCAAATGTAATAAACAAGCGTTACATACAGAGAGATTGTTACAGAAGTGCTTAACTGCCATTTAGTGTATCAATGGCACGTGCCAAATGATAATGTAATGTATCTTTGGGCACTTTTAAATGGGTATACTGAAATTTTTAAGCTTTTCTAGTGGATATACTCCATATAC